TTATTTATATATTATATGCACATTACTTATTAGAAAGCGCTCGATATCAGAGATAGAGCTAACATATTTGGTTGGATTGATGTGAGTTTATGACCCTGGGTTTCACACTTTTGCAATCGTCAGACAAATTGATTAATTTTTTAAAAATTTTGGATTTATGTAGATTGCGTGTATTGGTGTTATTAAGGAAGTGGGTGGGGGAATTGTTGTCGTAGTGTCACTCATGTTAACGCAAACATAGATGCATGTCCGTACACCCAATGAGGTATGCAGACACACATACACACTACAGATACAGACATAAACATGTGTGTTAAATTCCATACTGTCCACATGTTTGTGTCTGTATGAGCCCGGTGGACAAGTGAGTATGTATGTGTGTCTGCATACCTCATCGGGTGTATGAACATGCATCTGTGTTTGCATTAGCATGAGTGACGTCACGACGATGATTCCCCCACCCAACTTCCTTAATAACACCAATACACGCAATCTACATAAACCAAAAATTTTTTAAAATTTTAGTCAGTTTGTCTGACAATCGCAAAAGTGTGAAACCCAGGGTCACAAACTCACATCAATCAAACCACATATATATATGTTTATGTCATAAATTATTGTAGTTTTTTAGTTTTAGCCAGGCACACACATACAGACAACTACCCTTTATATATGTATAGATTGATCAAGTGGTGGAATTGCTCAAAATCAAGTTGCAACCATCAAGTATGTGAGTGATGTTTATGTATTGTGCTTGTGTTTGTATACAATGTGTTTATGTTAGAATTTTTTTAGATGAGGTATTATTATGAATGCCCATTTAATTTGAACTAGTACTCTCCTCTTGGTAGTTATACTAACAATGTTTTGGATGTTGTACCCTCGTCTGATTTCTTTTTAGAATTTTGGAACTGAACCCATTTAGATTTCCATCCTTAGAGGACATCTTGTATCAGTTAATTATCTTGTTTCATCTTCTTCATGTTGCTTGCCCATTTCTTTCAGGGAACCAGAGTATATTCTTCTACACTAAACATGGCCGTGTGGATTGAAGCATTGGTGATAATATAACTGGTTCTTCAGCAGGTGTGAATTCAATCCCCAGGTTGGGGAGTCCAGAAGCTCACATACACTAGTTAAATGGAAGAAACAGACAAATGACATTAAGGCAAGAAGACTGTAGAATATTGATACAAAATATATCAGCTGAAATGTATTAAAAATAACAAATGTAAAGAGAATCATCCAAAAGTATATGGAATAATGAAAATATTTTGTCTTGTGCATTTAGACAAGATCAGGAAGGTCAAAGAATATATCAGCTAAAATATTGTGATTAAAAACAACAAAGATGAAGATAATAGTCCAAAAATATATGAAATAATGAAAATGTTTTATCTTGGGCTTTCAGCAAATAACTGGAAGACCAAACAATACATTAGCTTAAAACCTTTAACATTCTGATTTGATTTTGTTTGTAAAGTAAAAATTTTATCCTGCCTCTGCAAGTGACTCAGATGAATGAATAATACTATGTTTTAATTTTTCAGTTATGTTGTCATATCCTGCTATGGCAACAGAAAATGACCATGACTGAAATTAAGTAGTGCAGTAGAGGAGCCTTGAAATATTGTTATGACTGTTCACTACGACCTTCATTAGTTGATTGGTTATTGTTATGTACCATACTTATGAACACTAATGGTCATATCCCAATCCTCATAAATACGTTGGACACTATTGTAAGTGGGGGGTAATATGCTGTCTAAGTAGTCCACCACTAGCAGTGGTTTACCTACTTCATGCTGCTGGCGAGTATTGTATTTTGTTGATGTTATAAAGATTACCATTTCATTTCCAACATATGTTTTGGCTATTACAACAAATACCATGCAATGGAAAGGAATGTAGTGAATAATGCAGAGTGATAAAGGTTAAATATTGTGATAAAAATAATGAAGATGAAGATAATAGTCCAAAAAATACATGGAATAAAGAAAATGCTTTATTTTGGGTCTTCAGCAAATAGCTGGAAGTCCACACAATACATTGGCTTAAATATTGTGATAAAAATAATAAAGATGAAGATAATAGTAAAAAGATACATGGAGTAATGAAGATGTTTTTATCCTGGGCCTTCAACTATTAGCAAAAAGACCAAAGAATATATTAACTAAAATATTGTGATAAAACTGACAAAGATGAAGACAATCATCCAGAGGGCTACAGAATAATGAAATTGATTTATCTTGGGTCTTTAGACAAAAGCAGAAAAACCACAGTATGTATTGGCTTGAAGTATTGTGATAAAAACAACAAAGATGAAGATAATCATTCCAAAATATATGGAATAATAAAAACAAAACATTATATCCCAGGCCTTCTATGGCAACAGAAAATGACCATGACTGAAATTAAGTAGTGCAGTAGAGGAGCCTTGAAATATTGTTATGACCGTTCAATACGACCTTCATTAGTTGATTGGTTATTGTTATGTACCATACATATGAACACTAATGGATATGTCCCAGTCCTCATAAATACATTGGACACTATTTTAAGTGGGGGTAATATGCTTGAGAATGGGATGAGAACACTGTGAATTGAATGAAGGGTTCAGTTCCAGATTCTAAGAAGGTTATCAAGTATGATACACTTGAATAAGGCTGGAAAGTACATTGTAGGTATAATAAACAAGATAAGTATGTCTACTAGTACAACTGGAAAAGGTGACTAATAAGATTTGGTGTTACTGAAAGTTTCAAATATATAAGGCATGAAATGGGTTCCTTAAAGAAAAAACAATTCACAGAAAATGTGGTTCTTTTATTTTATAGTGGTGTAACTTCGAGATATGCGAAATATGTGGCAAGATACATGAAATGCTAAATAAATTGATCAATGAACAGAATCATCAATCTGTTAATTCTCCAAACTTTTGGATTATCCTTTTAGGATTAGGACAATAATCCGTGTGTAAATAGTGTCTCCTCATCCCCAAAATTCAGATAGAATGTGATCAGGTGATAATAACAACAAAGATGAGGACAATAAGCCATATGTAAATAGTGTAAATAATAACTCCTCAATCCCAAAATTCAGACAGAAACACCTGTACTTTGTACACACTTCTTGACTTACCTGCAATTTGAGATAATTGATTTCTGTTTTGTAATCTTGTTCTATTTGGGCTTTCTCTACCACCAATTGGTCATATTTGTCCTGAAGAAGGGCATATTGCTTTTCAGAGGATATTTTATCATCAAGAATTGCCACATCCTGTTGTGAAACAAAGAAGTGAAATTGAATGGGTCAGTGTCTTAAATGATACACACAAAATGATCAAAGTAATTCCTCACAGTTATTTCCGCAGAAACTACAATAGATCCTGGGAGCATAATAACGCCATTGGTTTGACCAGGTTTTCATCTATGAAACACATTTTTACACATAGTCACCATTATTGGCTTTGTAGTAGTGAACATTTTATGGGTTGATAACTGTGCAAAACCACCAGGAATATAGTTTGTTACACATGTTGGAGTAGTAGAGCTAAATGTGCATTACCCACAGCCTAACTGTACTCATATCCACTGTTTGGTATCAAAGCATTCAAAAAGTGCCAATGAACATATAAATGTCAACTTCTTTTTTTCTACATGGAGGAAGCCAATGATACAACTCTAATTCATGTACACTTTCAGATCAGATGCAATTTTTTCTACTGATGTTCAGCTGCTATCTGTAACAAGGCAAAAACATTATGGGCTATCAGTGAGCAGGTATAGGTTCTACTGCCATGTCAACATCTGCCTCTAGTGACATCAGACAAAATAGAAGACATTACCTTTTGGAGTGTATGTGTGTATTGTTTTTAAATTATGAATTAAATTTCTCATCTTTTACTTGCTATGAAAGTAATTGCCTGCTTTTCATTTGCTACCTTAGCTTTTAATTTTATGTATTGTGATATTGGTGATGTCAAACACTATAAAGCAAAAAAAAAAAAAAAAAGAAGGAAAAAGAATCCCTCTTCTTGGAATGTGATATTAACTAGGAAGTATTCTTGGGTCCCAAGAATTTCTATATAATATTTTTTTTTTTTTTCATTGAAATAAAGAATTTGTTTAAAATTTTGTGAAAATTGTCTAAAAAGCTATGACATTCTGGTCAAGTTTTAAACAAATTTTGGGAAGGAGATGGGAGATGTGTCAGGATATCAGTAAGCCAAGTTCAAATTTCAGCCTTGTATATTGCATTCACTTTCACACAAACATCTTTGGGACAGAAATGAATCAATTTTTTCTCCCCTATCCCCAACTATTGGTTAAATAGTAAATATAGACTTGGCTCTCTCACTTTAGGTAGCAGCCAGTCCAAAAGAAGAAAAACTCGGAATCCCAAAGTATGGGAAACTACTCCACTATCTTTCCCAAGAAGTCCTGGCAATCCATAGATGATGACGATAATAATAATAATAAAGGAATCTGTGGAGAAGGCAACAGGAAATCACTACACTATCTTTCTCAAGAAGTCATGGCAATTCACAGATAATAAAGAAAAGGAATCTGTGGAAAAGGCAACAGAAAACCATTGCCAGATGTACTGGCACTTCACAGATAATAAAGAAATGGAATACGTGGAGAAGGCAATGTGTGATGGGGGTGAAACACTCCACTATCTTTCCCAAGAAGCCATGCCAATTCACACATAATAAAGAAAAGGAATCTGTGGATAGTTTTGATCACCCTACATCCAAAATGGACATGGCATTATTTAAAAAAAAAGAAAAAAAGTCTGGGAAAGGACTACTTAGATGATAAAATTGCTTGCTTTTTGGAATACAATCCTACCCTACCTACACACTATATCTTGCACAGCATGTCACCTGGCTGAAATTTCTTCCCTCATTTCTTCTCCAAATCTCCAGTAACTTAAGCCTTAGTTAATCACCCATTCCTATATGCTTGTAAAATCAACACTGTTTCCTAATGTTTCAGGTTTGTACTGAAAGATGATAGCAATGTTTCAGTCGCTGCTTTTCCCTTAACGACTACATCTTCCTCAGTTTCCCGCACGACTAAACCAGTCGTTAGCAAGTAAGCATTTTCTAATTTTTGTTTTTCATTAGAATGGAGAAGGTAGCATGAAGATTTCCTTTTCATTTCGCCATGATATTTTCTGTTCTCAAGAGACAGGTTTTGCTCTGCATGGGAAAATGGCATTGTATATCAAAATGAAACATGTCCAAGCTTTTTTACTTACAGGGATAGATCATATATTACTATAAAGGATGCCTTGTCTTTTTGAAAGAAACACAAACCAATATCCTACCAATATTTTTTTTAATTGATTTACCATCAGAATCCTTCAGACAATCCAATTTCAAGGATGTCTTGTAATAAAACAGATTTTTCTTTTTGCTAGCAACAGGATCATTGTACTATCAGTATTTGTAATGTTCTATTAGTAATGTCAAACAATGGACAAGTCTGACTATACCAGAATTGCTGATGGCTGCTGTTGATAGACCATTGTGGAGGAGATTCAGTGTGTCTTCTACATTCAGATCCACCCTATGATTACAAAAGTCAAGGGGATGATGATGATGATGATTAGTAATGACTAAATTTTCCATACATTAAAAAAAAAAACCCAAAATATATATGTTTCTGAAATGCAGCACATTACCCAGATTGAGGGTATGTGGTTTCAGGTCTTTGAACATTTCATATTCTTCTTGTGAGGGTGTGATGGATTCTCCTTCTCCTACCTTGTAGGTTGGGCATTTATATAACTTCCTGACATCTGGTTGTCTTGTATAGGTATATATCCTATGTTCAGCTGGGTTCACTTCCTGTTTATGTTGGTGACCCCCCCCCCAAACTGGTATCAGTTGAGGTCTGATTCTGCACTTGATGTCTTTGATGTTACCTTTTAGGTCAAACTTCAGAGCTTCTAGGTTTTTAACTTTCCGAGTACAAAACTTACTATGGTATCTCTTAAGGTGAACATATTACATATTGGAATCATCATATCAACTATTCTTATATCAAGGTTTCTGATGGGTATACATTTTAATTAAGACCATTGCTATTTCCTAGCATGAATCACATAATACCTTATCACAAGGCTTTGCAAAAAAAAAAACCCAACCTAAATAGCACCTCATAAAATCTGCACTTTTTGTAGGGAATACCAATACAGCATTTGCCCTGTTGGCTGGGGCTTCAAAATACACTGACTGCACCTCAGCAGAGGGGTAAGACACCTCCAATGAGGTGTCCTGGGTATGGCGATAAACTCAATCCAGCAGCAAAGTTTCTGTCAGAAGGCTTTGAGGAACATGGAACCACTTCTTAATTGCTGGTGTTCCCAGGTCCACCATGACTCAGTAGTAACACTTGTTAGGGCACTAGCTATGAGCAAATAGCCCCAAACTGGTGTCAAAACACTGTAAAGGTGCAAAAATAGGTTTTTATACCCACAACACCTGAAAAAAAAAAAATTTTTTTTATCAGCACTACATTATTGGAAAAAAAATATTACCAGCAATACTTTTTTGGAAAAAAGAAAGAAAAAAAAATATTACCAGCGATATTTTTTTGGAAAAAAAGAAAGAAAAAAAAATGTTACCAGCGATATTTTTTTTTTTTTTTTTTAAAAAAAGAAGAAAAAAAAAAAGATGTTACCAGCGATATTTTTTTTTTGGAAAAAAAAGAAGAAAAAAAAAAGATGTTACCAGCGATATTTTTTTTTTGAAAAAAAAAGATGTTACCAGCAATAAAATATCTAGTTGGCATTAAATAACTCCTTGATGTTGATATGTCATAAAACAAAAGAAATCAGACCAAACCAATACAGTATTTTCTTTTTTCCTTCATTTCACATCTGAAGCCTTTAAAATGCAACTTAAATATTTGCCCTGTGGGCAGGAGCTTCAGAATACACCAGCTGCACCTCCACAGAGAGGTAAGACGTCCTGAGTATGACAATAAACTACATCTGGCAGCAAGGCCTTTGATCAGGAGGTTTTAAGGATTGTGGAACCACCTTTTATTTGCTGGTCTTCCCAGATCCACCCTGACCTGGGGTGGTAGCACCTGTTAGGGTCCCAACTATGGGTAAATATTTAACCCCCAAACTATGATCAAAATACTATAAATACTATCAAAGTGTAATAATACGTTTTTATAGTAAAAATACTAGCAATACATTTTTTAACAAAAAATTATCAGGAGCAATACAATTTTTGAAAAAAACAAAAAAAAAAACAAACATATTACTAGAGATATATTTGATTCTTGATAAAAGCCCTCTTTGCAAAAATACATCAATGAAATTTGATTTACAAACTGATTTCTTACAAAGAATATATATTCTATTCGTACAAATGTATTCTAAAAATCGTGTCGGCATTAAATAACCCATTGAGGTTGATGTGCCTTAAAACAAAATAAATGAAACCAATTTAAATAGTATCTCAAATAAACTCTAGTTATTTTGCAAGCATCACCTAATCAATCTTTTCAATATTTTTTTTTTTTTTTTTTTTTTTTTTTTTTTTTATTGATTCCCTACCTGATTCCTTCAATATATCCAATCTTATTTTAAACAAAGAAGGTTTATGAATATTTAGTTGTTTGCATTTTATTTCCTTATCATCCATGGTAAATATTATTAAGAATGCTGCTGTACTTTGGTAAGATCTAAAAGGATGTTTTCAGGAATCTGGCTCAAAAATTCTTAGCAAGATTGAGATCAGATGAATTTCCTCACCAACACACCAAATTGATCTTTTCAGGAAAGTTTGACTCTGAATATGGCAAACACTGTTCACCAATCAAACTTTACAAAAAGAAAACATACAGGTGATATAATGGGCTTTACAGTCACATCACATTGAAAACACTATGATCACCAAAGTTAACGTCCTGGGTAAGACGATAAACTACGTCCAACAGCAAGGTCTCTGATCAGGAGGTTTTGGGGAGTGTGGAACCACCTCTTAATTGCTGGTGTTCCCAAATCCACCCTGACCCAAGGTGGTAGCACCTGTTAGGGTCCCAGCTATGGGCAAATAGTTAACCTCCAAACTAAAATAGGTTATAATATCAAAAATACTTTGTAAAAAAAAATTATTACCAGAAATGTATTTTTTTTTTTTTTTTTTTTTTGGTTTGAAAAAAAAGTATCAGCAACAAAAAATTTGTTTGCATAAAATAACCCATTGACGTTGATATGCTGTAAACCAAACAAAAACCAAAGTTAAGCAATGTTGAGCCTGTTTAGTACCTAGATGGGTACTGCTTGGGAATACCAGGTGCAGTAAGCTTGTATGCGCAGGTGGTTTGATGGATAAAGGCTCGTAATTTTTAATCAGGACAGATTCCAATTCCAGTTGGGTTTGTTTTATTCACTTATGATCAAATACCTCTGCAAAAAGTATGAATCCTCCTGTTCTCCCCTCAACTATGGGTTAATTAGTAAGATTTGTATCATTAAACCATTATTTTCTCAAAAAAAAAATCTTAAAATCTAAAAAAAATATTCTTTTTGGCTTTAAATAATCTGCAGAGAGTTGATAAATCATAGAAAATGAATCAATCAATATCCATTAAAGGTATTATGCATGATCTGTTTAAAGTGAAATGTTTAGCTTTGAGATTAAGTCTGTTTTATTATGAGACAGTTTTCCAGTGATCAGACTATGCATAAACATTATAAAAGTACATTGTGTTTAGATACCTTAATTTTATTGGCAGAAAATATTTTTCCTTTTTCCTTTATCATAGCTGGTTGCTCATGTAGCTTTTCTCATGGGACTCTTATTTCTATCTGTGAGATTATAATTTTTTTTCTAGTTTCCCTACTAGATGTTGTCATTTCTCCCACTTTGCCAAAAAAAGTTCTGTTAACATTATTGTAAGCTGTATTTACCTGGGCTCTGTACTAAGGCAGCATGGTCATTTTTTACATGGGGATCACAATTCACATATGTATACATATGAGCCAAGAACAAAGATTTTTGCCTAGTTCTCACAACAGAATAACAGAAAGGTATGAATCATCTCTTCTCCCTCACCCCAGCTATGGGTAAAATAGCTGGACAGACAGTCCTCTAGCCTTGGGTGACAACCAATTTAGAGTAAGGAAACTTTGACATTATCTGTTCATCTTGAAAGATGACTGGATGGAACATATACAAATCTACTTAGAAAAATCCAGAATATCATTTGGAGATCCCATGCGACGCTTAACACAATTTACAGAGAACTGAGACTGATCCCTCTTAAACTCAAAGAAAAACGATTACTGTTTGCTGGGCACTGCCACCGAGCAAACAGGGAAACATTGAGTTTAAATACCTTAATTTTCTCCTAGCTGGCTGCTCATGTAGCTTTACTCATGGGACTCTAATTTCTATCTGTGAAATTATGATTTTTTTTTTTAGTTTCCCCACTAGATATTGTCATTTCTCCCACTTTGCCAAAAAAAGTTGTGTTGATGTTATTGTAAAGTATATTTATCTGGGCTTTGCACTAAGGCAACATGGTCATTTTTACATGGGGATCACAATTCACATACGTATACATATGAGCCAAGAAGAAATATTTTTACCTAGCTCTCACAACCACTGTCATGCTGGCACTGATATTACACCGACCATACCCCTCTCTTACTGCAGTGAGGAAGGTGCTGCTGCAGGGCTGTAATCCTTGGAACTGGGTGCCTTCTCCCATACAAATGTTTACTCCACTTCCAGCCAAAAGTTAAATCCTGTACCAGACAGAAGGTAATTACAACACAGGTTTAATGTGGGTCGCATGCATATTACATTCCAAGGTGTAAATTGTCCCATGCAACTTTGGTGACTTTGGCTGAAGGTGTACACCAGATCCTACCCCATTAGTACTATTGAGAAGTTTCAGTACAGAATAACAAGCACAAGCATAATTAATTACTCAGAATAACATCCTTATTTTTATTTTTATAGATTCAAACTGTTATCTTTTTTATCAAAATATTTTGGTTACTTTACTTTTGCTACTTTTAAAATGAGCTGGTGGAGGTATGTTGGAGTAATGGCTAGCGGCTTGGATTGAGGAATCGGAGAGCATAGTTTAAATTCCAGTTAAATTCATTACATTCACTTACATGCTAATACCCTCAGTAAGAGTATGTATCCATCTCTTCTTCCCCCATTTATGGGTAAAATAGAGCAAACTGAATCCTTTAGCCTTGGGTGGCAACCACTCTAGGAGAAGGAAACTTCGAATTCAGACCTGCTGCCTTGTATGTCCTGCCTCTTGAGGCAAAGACTAGAAGGTAACTTCAAAAAACAAATCCACCTCTGAGGCGAGGGATGGGCTAACCTTAGCATCTCTGGTGCAAAAGACACCTGTAAGTTCATTACATTTATGTGCTAATACTGTTGGGAAATTATCTGTTTATCTTGAAAGACAACTGGGTGGGACATATACAAATCTACTTAGAAAAATCCAGAACATCATTTGGAAATTCCATGTAACGCTTAACACAATTTTCAGAGAACTGAGACAAATCTATCTTAACCCATTAACTGCCAAATTTTTTTAATGTGTATTTTTGGCCCAGACAGGTGTCTTAGGAGTTTATTTATTCCTTATGTTTAATTTCAGTAGTTACCATTGTTATTTTTATAGAAACTAGAACATCAAATATATGTGTATAAATCATCAAAAAATAATATTGATTAGAAATAATAAAAAAAAAAAAATACTTTTCAGAATAGTCATTATTTTTCTACTTGTCTTCTTACAGGTAATAATAAAAACTTTAAAGGCTAAGTGTTGTAAAATATACCTCTGCAAATGCAATGTATGTAAGCAATTCAATGTAAATACAAGGAATAACATGTAGTGAGTTTAATTTTAACAGATTCTCAAATGGGGCTCATGGCAGGTAATGGGTTAAACTCAAACAAAAATGATTACTGTTTGCCGGGCACTACCACCGAGCAGACAGGGAAATCGTCTCATCCTTACTCCTATGGCATCCTTCTGGAAATGTCTTCTCATGAAAATTGACTTTCCCAGACACCATAGCTCGAGTTGGACATTGGGGATCTGGGGACAGCAATACAGGACCAAACAGTAGGGAAAGGGATTGTCAATGAAGTTCTGACCAACCATAGGGAGGTCTAAGATGATGATGATAAAGGGAAAGAAACTCCTAATTCAAACCACCTGTTGCCTTGTAGGTCCAGCTTCTTTAGGCAAAGACTGTGAGGGAAGGGACGAAGTAACCTCAATGTTCCCCATTCCAAAAGGAGCAGGCAAGCCATTGCACTCTTCTGCCTTAAATGCCAATGCACTAACTGAATAAAATGAATGAAAGAAAAAAAAAATAATCACTTTTAGATGTCTCCCTTGGGCTTTCAAATGTCTCCGTTATCTCTTTATCACTCAATCTGGCAACTCTTATCGGCTTTGAAACATCTTTAACTTTATCACATACGACTTCTTTTTATAAACTGAAATAATCTAATATAGTGTGACATTAACAACATTTCACCAAAGAATCAAGGTGAATTCACTTAATGTCTGGCAAAGCTACTTATACTGTACATCCTGGGTATGATGATAAACTACATCCAGCAGCAATCCTTCTGATTGGGAGATTTTGAGGAGTGTAGAACCACCTCTTAAAATTGCTGCTGTTCCCAGATCTACCCTGACTTGAGGTGGTAGTACCTGTTATGGTCCCAGCTATGAGCAAATAGGGTCAAAACACTATGAAAGTATAAAAATACCTTTTTATAGTAAAAATAACAGCAATACATTTTCATAGTTTAAAAAAATTACCAGCAATACATTATTGAAAAAATAAAAAATATTACCAGCAATGCATTTTTTTTTTTTTTTTTTTGTAAAAAAAATTACTCAGGCTCCCAAGAAAATTAAATTTTGATATTAAATGACCCATAAAGAGTTGATATGCCATTAAACAAATTTATACTGCATTTATTACTGTGTATTTAAAATTTTTATCAGTTTTTTTTTTTTTTTTTTTTTTTTGTGTGTGTTCCGCCAGAGCAATATTAATCTTTTGAAGTGACTTTTTTCTTTATTTGATTCTTCTACAGAGTGGCAACTGTAGCTAAGGAGGAACATATCGATGTTGAAGTTGATGATACACAGCTTCCAGATCCTCTTGCATCTGCCATCCACCCTGGTTTCCTTGACCCCAACAGTATCATCTCTGGCATCCTGGCACCAAGTATCTACCCTTGGGCAAATCAGGGTAAAGTGTTTTGAAAAAAAAAAAAGAAAAAAGAAAGCTTTATTTGGGTCTCAAATTCCTTTTCTTTATCTTTGCAAAATCAAATCTATGTCCTTTATTTTAATAATATTTACTGTTTCCTTATAAATAAACATTCATTAACTGAGCAGACAGTATTGCTTTCAGTTAATGTTTATAAAATCTTTCTATTAAAACAATTTTTCAGGAAAATAGATTCCCCAAGTTCACTGTTATCACTCTTTCCAATATTGATGAAGGTTTCCTTCCTGACCTTTTGTTTGAAGTAGAGTGTAATACTAGATTGTCAGTTAGGTTTCATAATTTCATTGTTGCAATTGTTAAATGTAACAGTAAGTTCTATAATAATAGTTTTGTCTCTCACCCTTCTCACCTGTGGGAATTTCTTGCAACTTCTTGCTTTCCTGTCAATTATGGGTTTGCGACCATATCATGTTGAAACACCAGTTTGTGTACAATCAGTGAAGTTAAGCAATATTGAACCTGGTCAGTAACTAGATGAGTAACCACTTGGAAATATCAGGTGTTGTAAGCTTGGATGTGCAAGTGGTGTAATGTATAACAGCTTAGAATTGGAAATTAGAGAGCTGAGTTTCAATTCCATTTGGGTTTGTTGCCACTCATGCGCAAATACTCCTGTGAAAGTGTCATGGAAGAAGAAAGTGAGTAACTACTGACACCGAGGTTCAAGCGTGACACTCTGGTCTTATGAATATATGTTTTCGGTCATGTGTATAAATAGTAGTGTCACGCTACTGACTAGTGATTATTGAGTAACTATTCAGTAGAACTATCCAGTCGAATTAGTGTGAATTATTGTACGTCAATGATTTGGGTTTTGATTTAGGATTTACCAGACATTAAGCCGAGCCGTGCTAACCAACAAGGTATTCACTGAAATGGTTAATTATCTTTGGTTGACTTTTACTTCTTTGTTCTTGTTAAATATTTACTTGCAGCTGTAATTAAATATTGTTTTATTTTAACATTGAAGCCTTGAGTTATACTTAATCATTAACAGCCACCATAGGTCACAAAAGAAAAGTATAAATCCCTCTCTTCTCCTCCAGCTATGGGTTAATTAGTAGGACTTGTATCAGTAAATTGTTCTTATCACCAAAAAATTCTTAAAATCTAAAAAATATTTCTTGGCTTTAAATAACCTTCAAAAGGTTGATAAACTGTAAAAAAAAATCAGTCCTGTCAATTGCAATCTTTCAAAACTTAAAATCTACATAAATCATTGCTAACTCTCTCTCTCTTTGAAGCCTGTCCTTTTATTGTCCTGTCTGTTTCTTTCACTCTCAGTAACCCCCTTGCATCTTAGTGGCTTTTATTGCTTTAGTTGTGGTGAAATGATTTAAAACATAAAAAATAAAGATGAATCTTGCCCTTATTTGAACGTTCAAAGTGGTGATAACTGGGCAAGTGACATATCCAGTGTTCTCTAGATTGTGAAGCTTGGTAAAATACAAAGTTAAGAAGAATGCACAGATACTACACTAATCCTAGACAGAAATGCTACTCCATACTTAAATAATTCCATTATTTTTTTCAGTTACTATGTATGTTTGAAAATTCATTTTCTTTTATGATTTATGTAAATTAGTTCTATAATAGCTTTATCCTGCATTAATTCCTGACTACTGACAATCCCTTCTTCTATTGATTTTAAACATATTTCTATAGTAAAATCATTCATAGTGCAACTTTATCAGTTATAATTCCTGACCATTGACAGTTTTCAGATGAAAAATGACAAAATTCAGTATTTCAGCATCATTTGTTTTTCTCTTCTGCCAAAAATATTTGGTTTCTTATTGCAGAAATGAATCAGGAGTAGGTGTAAAGACTGTGGGACCTAATTAAAAAAGCCAAAGCCTTGTTTACATTTCTATTTTATTTTTTTTTTATCATTTCACCCCACCAAGTAAGGCAATAAAACCTCTAAGAGTTACTGAGTGTGAAAGAATATGAGAGAAGAAAAATACATTACAGAAAGAGGACAATAAAAGAACAGGTATTTGTTTATTTGTTCTTGTTGTGACATTCACCCAGGATCGGTTATCTCCATCAAAGGAACTTGTTGCATCCCAAATGAAAACTGAACAAGCTTGGTGGTCAGATGCAATTGAGTCAGTATCCTAAAGTGTGTATACTTGTGTATCCCATCGTATCTCATGTAGAATTTATTTGTGTATCTTAAGGGGGGCACTGTGAATCTAAATTCTCACTGAAACTCCTCCTATGAATTTGCATGTCCAAACAATCTCTGCTACAGCTGTTGGAACCATGATTGTTTAGCGCTTAGTAATTAAAACAGACAGAAGATAATGATTGACATTGTATTTAAATTTTTGAAGATCAAACTTGACTGAAAAGTAAGAAGCCAGAAGAGTTCCACAAGCAAGAAATACAAGAGAAGAAATTTTTAGCATAGAATTTAGTTACATTTATCCATTTCAACTGTAAAATGATGAGACCTTGTTGCCAATCTAGTACTGCACTTAAATCCATAAAGTCTAGCTACCACAGAGGAAAGCTCCTTAGAACATTTACCAGAAAAGAGTTCCACAAATGAGAAATACAAAAGAAGAAACTATTAGCATAGAACTTACGGTTACATGGAGCCATTTCAACTGTAAAATGATGAGACCTTACCGCCAATCTAGTACTGCACTTAAATTCATAAAGTCTAGGTGTCATAGAGAAAAGTTCATCAGAACAAGCAGCATGAAAATATTTATAGAAAAGGCACAGAGATGTTACATTATAGTGGTAGGCAAGTGACTGAAACACAAGATGCCAGGTCAGGACAATTAGATTGCAGATTCTTCTTTGGATTTTATCAAGAATCTCGAAATACATAGCAGATGCATGAAACCAGATGTGGCAGTAATATTCAATGCATGGCTGAACTGTAGACTTAAAAATGTGTAATATAGATTCTGGTGAGAAAAATTACCTAGCACAATATAGTGAACCAACTTTCCTAGCAGCATGCCCAGCAATTGATTCATTATAATCTTTCTACTTTATGCTAGTGGAAAATGTTAACCTGAGAAGATGCAATGTATCTCTCCTGGAGGGTAGCATCAGCCATGAAGGCTAAAAAGATCCTCTAAGATTAAAATATAGTACATATAAAATGCTTACATTTAAATGTAGTCAACACTAAAATCCAACTGATTAGTATTGTTTTTTTTCTTTTTCTTTTTATGTAATTCTAAAATTGTAATCTTTTTAATTTTATCTACATGTGATATCACAGGATACACAAATTTTACACGTGATATCATAGGATGCACAAATTCTACATGTGACATAAGATACACAAATTAATTTTGCATGTAATGTCATAGGATACACAACACAATTGGTATACAAATAAAATTTATAGACACAATTTTGATACTCTTTTTACATTTAACAGAATAGAAAAAAAAAAAAACGGCACTGTAATTGTACCAATGATGCTTCTTTACATGAAGAAAAACATTTAAGTTTTCATGTTCTTCAATTACTTGCAGAAGATGCTGAAGAATCTTTAGAACCTGAAGAGAACAAAGAGGAAATTTCTAATGAGGAACAAGCATGGTTAGATGCACTGGAAGCAGGAGAACTTGATGATTTTGGAGAAATTCGAAAACCAAAAGACCCTAACCTTCTCACAGCCAGACAGGTAAGTAGCAATGTGTCTTGGCTTTGTAGATTTTTATGATGTCATGGCAAATCTCATATCATGTTCATTTGTTATTCTCACTTCAGAGATGAAAATGAATTATCAATTTTGACCAATGATATGTGCATATTAAGCATATATCAAGCTTATTTTATCAGTAAACTTTGCATTGTGTCCTAATAATCTCTATTACTGGGTATGATGATAAACTACATCCAGCAACAAGGTCTCTGATCGAGAGATTGGAGGTTTTGTAGAGTGTGGAACCACTTCTTAATTGCTGTTGTTCCCAGGTCCGTCCTGACCTGGGATGATAGAACTTGTTTGAGTCCCAGCTATTGTCAAATAGTGAACCCACAAACAAAAACAAAACACTATGAAAGTCTAAAAATACATTTTTATATTAAAAAAAATGACCAACAATACATATTTATCGTAAAATGATCAACAATACATTTTATCTAGTTGAAAGCATACAACTGTGTTCAAAATATTTAGATTTCGGCATTGAATAACCCGGTGGTTGATATGCCGCTAAACAATATCAACCAACCGAACAATCATTTTCCTTGAATTCCTGACCAATAAAAATAGTTTTTTTGGTTGTTTTTTTCCTCCTGATTTTCAATGTATTTTGATTTTAAAATCATTAGCACCTGTTTTCCTGACTGCTGGAAGTCCTCATCCATTGTTCCTGTCTTTAAGAACTCTGGAGACCCCTCTGACCCCTCTAATTACTGTCCTATTAGTCTGCTACCCCTCTTCGGCAAAGTCTTCGAAGCCCTAATCAATGCCAAAGTGGTTAACCACCTTACATCTCATGATCTGCTCTCAGACAAGCAATATGGTTTCCGCTACGCCCAATCTACAGCTGATGTGCTTACGGCCATCACTGAAACCGTCTACCAAGCCCTTCAAAATAATGGTGAGGCTTTTGCCGTGGCCCTAGACATCTCCAAAGCGTTTGATAGGGTTTGGCATGCCGGCCTTCTTCGCAAGCTCCAGGGTTATAGCATTACAGGTCGATTGTTTGACCTAATACAATCATTCCTGTCAAACCATAAATTGAAGGTCATTCTCAACAGATTCTCCTCCAGTTCCTATCCCACGAACGCAGGTGTTCCTCAAGGCTCCATCCTTGGCCCCACTCTATTCCTTATTTTCATCAACGACCTTCCTGACGCCATAGATTCCAGAGTTGGCATCTACGCGGACGACACTATAATTTACTCCTGCCTCGAAAACAAATCTAGTGTTGGTGACAAAACTAACCTGGCCATACGTCTTGAAATGGACCTCCAAACGGTTGTTAATTGGGGCAAGAATTGGCTGGACAACTTTAATGCCTCATAAACTAAACTACTCTCTATTAATCACCATAGAGATCCTTCCCTGCCCCCCATTAGAATGTCTGATAGTCATGTTCTTGAGAGCAACTCCCTGCGTCTGCTCGGTCTCACATTGAATGCTGACCTGAGTTGGAACAAATACATTGAGTCAATTGCTTCTTCCACCGCGAGGAAAGTTGGCTCTCTTTGCCGCACCAGGAAATTTTTCTCCCTGGAATTGATATTTCAAATATACAAATCAACCATTCACCCTTGCATGGAGTATTGCTGCCATATATGGTCTGGGGCACCTTCTGTTTACCTCGGAGTTCTTGACAAGATCCAGAGACGGATATGTAATATAATTGGCCCTGATCTGGCGTCTCATCTACAGTCACTCTCTGTCTTTTCTACAAATACTTTCATGGTAATTGCTCCAATGAGCTGCTTTCACTGGTTCCCACACTCCATAAATTCAAGCGCCGTACGAGGCTGGCATCCTGCTCCCACCCTTACACTGTAGAAACTTTTAAATGTGGCCATCTCTTCTACTCCTATAGCTTCATACCTCACACCTCTCGCCTGTGGAACACCCTTCCCAATTACTGTTTCCCTGAGAGCTATAATCTCCAACTATTCAAATGTAATGTCAATCGACACCTCCAGTTACCTTGATCTACCCACTATCCCTCTTTGTTATCCTTTCTTCTATCACTCCTATCTGCTCTCACTCCAAATCTTCTGCAGCCCCCTGCATCCTAGTGGCTTTACGCCTTGCTCGGGGCGTAATGATTAAAAAAAAAAAAAAATAATACATTTAGATTCTAGATATAATTACTTTATTCTATCAGTAACACAGTATTCAGAAAAGGAAAATTTCTTTAGAAACAAAGAAAAAAAAGTATTGAACTAGTATAAGGCCTATATGGCAGTGAATGCTTTTGTTTCTAAGATAGGTTTTTTTTATTTTTTTTTATTTTTTTTCTAAAATAGATTTTGTTGATTTATTTATTTATTTTATTTTTAAGAGAGCTTTACTCCATGGGAAGCAAGAACAGGAATTGTTAGAGCTGCCCACAGGTAAGAAAGATCTATCTTCCTTTTTTCTTTTTTTTTTTTTTTTTCTTTTTTTTTTCCTTGTTTTATTATTACTGTGTTCATTTCTATCATCTTCCTCTCTGTTAATTTATTCTATAGGATTTAATTAATTTTGAAAACTTTGTCATTTAAAAAAAGATTATTGAAAAATTCGGTCATAACTTTGAAAGCAATTTTGAATCTCGGACTTGTGTGTATATGCCCATTCTATACATATTTGATATGAATTATGTCATTCAAGGGTTAATTATTTAATATATATATATATATTTCATCTGTTACGACTTCATTAGGCTGGTTTTGTTGACATTATAATAACTACACGTACACATGAATGAGAGATGCTGATAGTTTCAAAAATTTTTTTTAAATAATTTTTTGCAAATTAGCCAAATTCATCTATATTCTTTTTCTTTTCATCATCTTTGTTTTTAATTATCCCACACTGTGATAACAGAAAATCTGCCAAAAATGGTGACATGTTGTCAGAGGCTGGACATTACTGTGGTAGCAATCAAGGCACTTTCTAGACATTATTGTCTTAGTGAATTATTTCTTCTTTTAATTAAAGTGGCCTTTTTTATGTCAAAATTGTAGTCTGTTTTGTTATGGTGAACAACCAATGTATTTTGTGTGTTGTTTTTTAAAATGTTGTTCACTGTAATGAGTTAAGATTTTTTTTCATTTAATTTTTCTAGTGTTTTTATAATTTTTTTCCTTTTCCAGACATGAATTATATTGTCCAAATATTTTTATGTCCAAGTGTTTTCAGCTATGTCTTTAGCCATTATCAAGGATGATTTTATTTTTGATTTTTAACTGATGTATGGATTTTCTTCTTTTTTTTCTTTTCTTCTTTTTTTTTTCTTTTTTTTTCTTTTTTCTTCTTCTTTTTTCTTCTTTTTTTCTTCTTTTTTCTTCTTTTTTCTTTTTTTCTTTTTTCCTTCTTTTTTCTTTTTTTTCGTTTTTTCTTTTCTTTTTTTTCTTTTTTTTCTTTTCTTCTTTTTCTTTTTTTCTTTTCTTTTTTTTTCTTTTCTTCTTTTCTTCTTTTTCTTCTTTTCTTTTTTCTTCTTTTTCTTTTCTTCTTTTTCTTTTCTTTTTTTTTTTCTTCTTTTTTCTTTTCTTCTTTTTTCTTTTCTTCTTTTTTTTTTCTTTTCTTTTCTTCTTTTTTTTTTTCTTCTTTTTTTTTTCTTTTTTTTTTTCTTTCTTTTTTTTTTTTTTTTTTTCTTTTTTTCTTTTCTTCTTTTTCTTTTCTTTTTTCTTTTTCTTCTTTTTCTTTTCTTCTTTTCTTTTTTTTTTCTTTTTTCTTCTTTTCTTCTTTTTTTTTTTTCTTCTTTTTCCTTTTTTCTTTTTTCCTTTTTTTTTTCTTTTTTTTCTTTTTCTTTTTTCTTCTTTTTTTTTTTATGTATGTATGTCTTTAGAGTTACAGGAACTATGTTCATATAATGGCTAAAAGAATAGCCAAAACCACCCAGACATACTGAATATTTGAACAATTTCTACATGAATTATGTCCAGTAAAGAAAGAAATTATAAGAACATGAGAAAAATTAAATAAAAAAAAAAACTTAAAAGCAGTACATTGTCAATCTTTTTTTAACAAAACTTGTTTAAAATAAGGATTGCTGCCCAAATACACAATTATTTATATATATATATATATATATATATATATATATCTGCACATACACATATTTATGAACTTGTGTGAGACCACAGCTATGCTATTGATTTCCATACCTGTGATTGATACTGGTTGTTTTTTTCAGTCCTCAACAATGCACAAATTAGTAGATTGTCTAGTGTGTTGTCCACCAGAGGTTTTTATGGTGTGACATAGAAGATTCTTTGTGCCTGTTTTTTACTGACTGAAATGGAATCTCTTTAAATACTCGGCACAACCACTGAAAACCCAACACCTGTTGTTTTTTTTGTTAGAAGTTTTTTTTGGTATTTTCCAAAATTGGTTTATTATAAAAAAAAAAAAAAAAAAAATTATGAATTACTAGCACATCAAAGGGGCAAGAATTTGTAATATTATCTCATGCCAATGTCACAGTAATATAATCATTGTGTCTGTATATTCCTACATTCATAGTCTGCTCTGTGAAGTGTCTCTTATGGTTTGGTTTCTCTAGCAGTTGGATAAACATACATCATATCTCACACTAATCCCTAAAATAGATAATTTGCCTTTATCTTGACATTGATATATTACTGCTTTCTTGCAGTTGATCTCAAATCCCTGAGATATTCCTTATTGTCTGAAACTTAGATGATCCTAATGCTGACAAGTGGACCAAGACTAAGGATTTGTTTCTTCCTATAATTCCATGTAGAATTGACCAAGTAGTACAAAGTAAAAACAGTTTCATTGGGTTGACCAATTTTACATTTTATCCAAAAAAAAAAACATTGTGTCAACTAGAGGGCTGGAAGGAGATTGGGTGAATTTCACTTATACCATATTTAGTCTCAATCTTAAGTTAAATCAATGTTTGATCCTTGTAGGTTGTTTTCACCATTCACTTAAAAGGTTCAAATTAAAATCTTGAATTGATCCTTTCTCTTATCAATTTAACCTTCCTTGTAATTTTTCCCCTCTCTGTATTAATTCATTTTAATGCTATAAGTCTTCCAAAGGGTTATGTTAAAGAGTTGCTTGTATAGATAGGATTCGAAGATAATGGTTAACTCTAGACTTGAACAGGTTAAGACTGTAGTGATTGGAGGAGAAAAACATCCTCTTGGGAGTCTGTTCCACTTAGCAGTGGTTTGTGGGAAGAAGCTATTCAAGTGAAACTTATTTTTCACCAATGGAACACAGAGGAAATGTTGGGGGTTTGCTACAATGTAAGTGGTATGGCAGATCCTTCCTGTGAAGCTTAGGCCTGACAAAAACCAAGGAATGTAGTTTGTCTGAGCACTTTTCATGAAAACAGCAATAGAGAACTGAGAGGCTTGCCACATCCCACCTTTGAGAGAGAGGTTGGAGGATGAAAAATAATTTGTCACCCACAAGGATTGGATAATGACTAGGTTCTTTTATATATATATATATATATATATATATATATATATATTCATTGAGGCATTATGAATAGAAAGGTCAGTTATTTCCTTTTTATAGTCTCTGTTATATATCATACCGATGAACACTATTGGGTATGTCCCAGTTCTCATAAATACATTGGACACTATTAGGGATAATATGCTGTTTAAATAGTCCACCACTAGTAAGTGGTTTACCTACTTCACACTGCTGGTGAGTATTGTATTTTATTGATGTTATAAAGATTACTATTTCATTTCCAACCTCCATTTTGATTATTCCTCATTCAGTAACCCTTTTCTAGGTTACAACAGTATCATTTGAACAGCTATTGAATAAGTGGGAATGTTTATTTTAAATTATTTTAATGGTTATTACATTAAACTGATTATGGGCCAGAGAATGGATATTTTATAGCTATTATATAGGATTGTTTTAAATTACATTTATTTATTAATAATTATGTATTTATTCATCAATTATTCATTATAGATTGTTATTTTTATTATTAAATAAATAATAGGCATTCATTTATAATGTGTGCCTATTATTTATTTCCTTTATTTGTTTTTGTTTAGGGTATTGGTTTTACTTAAATTATATTACATTATCTGTGTTGTATTTAATACATATATCTGCATTTTTTCTTAATTATGCTTTACAAGGTTTTAGTTTTCAATTTTTAACTAGCAACAGTAAAAATTTGTTTTCCAGTCTGCATTTTGAGATAAGTTCTGATCTTTTGTTTAGAAGTTTGTGTTGTTCATTGAAAGTGATTATGACTATTTTTTCTACCAGATAAAATTTACAGTTTTTGAAATTATTGGTGCTCTTTCTGGTATTTTCCATGATTGTTTTGGTGTATTTTGGTTTTTGTTTATAAGTTCCCATATATATTTACAGAGTGTAGGGCTGTTTGCATATTTACTGTTAAAAGATGTTTTGTGTGTTTTGTCTCTATTTCTCAAGTCCTTCAGTTACTTCTATGTGTATTTTTTCATTATTTGCTTGGTATATTGCTTTGCTCTACAGGCAATTGCCATTTAATCTACATTCATGCTTTGTTCTACATTTACGTTGGGTTGGTTTGGGTGGGTGATTTGTTGGTAATTTTTCTATTGTTATTTGTGTCATGTTCTTGGTGCAACTATAGCTGATTTTTAGTGTGTTTCTGTTGAATATTTTGTGGATGGTGCTTGATTGAGGGTAAGTGTTTGTGGATGAGTTTTATGAATATTTTTTCCTATGTTTGTTTTTACATTAATTATTTTTTTCTGTTGGTTTTTTATACTGTGTAGTGTGTATACAAGGCTTGCTGAAATCCAATATCATTTTAGAGCTCTTTCATGATCATTTTGGCTTTGTTAAAGTGATAGGTTAGCTGACAATTGTGCTAATGAAACTGTGCAATTGATTGTGGGATCTACTTGATTATTATCTTTGGTGTGTGTTTGGAAGATATGTGTGTGTAAAATGGCATTCTCTCTCTCTCTCTCTCTCTCTCTCTATATATATATATATATATATATATATATATATATATATATATATATATATATAACATTGAAGTCAACACTCAGAGGCAACAGGCTGTTTCATGCTGGACGAATCGTCAGGCAGCCTGACAATTGTGTCCAGCATGAAACAGACTGTCACCTCTAAGTGTTGACTTCAATGTTCACTTTATATTTATATTTACATATGCTCTATCTCTGATATCTAGCATTTTATCCTATAAATATAGCACACTTTAAAACTATATTTCTTTTTATATATATATATATATATATATATATATATATAACTTTAAACATTGTTATAGTAGATACTCTGTATTTGAAATAGACATTTAAGGTAATAAAACTTTTTAATTAAAAATAAATTATTTTGCATCTATTAATTATATTTTTTTTCTTTTTGTTGGGTGTGGATAAATTGAACAAAATTCATGTAGTTCTTTTATTTTAATATATGAATATCTTTTTGTACATTAGAAAAGAAGATCCTTAAATCTAATAGACACAAAATGACTATTATTTTTAACAATATATGTTTAAGGAACAATTGCTGCCCAAATAAAATGTATAAATATAATCTCCACCAGTCTCAAGTAATGAAGACCTTATTCCTTGAGGCAGAACACTGTTGATCATCCCTTATAATCTGTCAAAAATTATTACATGATTGCTAATTAAATTCGTTATAAGCTGCCAGTCTGATAAGCTTGTAATGGAAAAATTTTGAAATCTTTCTTCTGAAATGTGACACAGATTGTTTTTTATTTTTATTATTTCCAGGCTACAAAACAGTAGAACTCACAGAGGAACAAATTCAACGGCGCCAACAAAGAGCAAAGAAACGGCGCCAACAGGCACAGGAAAAACGAGAAAAGGACAAAGTAGGTCATCATGAATCTAAGACAAAAAAAGAAAACATTTAAATTTAATATATCTTGGGGTAACACAAACAATTGCAACACTTTATTTTTAATAGTAATTAGTTTCTAATATTTTGTTTCTTTTATCAATCATATGAACCAATGGTCTGTTGGTTTGGTCACCACTTACCCTCAGAGATCACAAAGCATTTTTCCTCACATGCAGTTTTGTCTTTCTTTCATTATAACCTGAGGAAGCCAAGGGGAGCAGATACTCTCAGTTAATAAATTTTCCACTTTCTCATCACTAAATATATATATATATATATATATATATATATATATATATATTGCAAGGAAAAAATATGGATTATTTCTTAAAGGCATTATGAAAATAAAATAAAAATAAGAGATGATAACTCATACAAACAGACCAACGGTTTCGTTCCCAAGCTCATCAGGGTCAACTGGGAACTATTTCTCAAAATTGCAAAATAAATAAGTCACACACAACCTACATGCAATTAAAACTTAAAAATGAAAGATTAATGGTATGGAGGGGGAAAAAAAAAAATAAAATTATACACATATATATATTCCTTCCTTTTTTAAGCTGTGCAAATATACACAATAAACGAGTGAAGGAAAAAAAAAAAAAAAAAAATAACAAGTACATCGGACTCCTTCTCAATTTTTTACATCGGTGTTTCGTAAACCAACGTTTTCTGGTCTGTATACGTGTTGGGACTCATTTTGTCCCAGGAAACGCAAAATCAATTTAATCAAGACCCTAACTCATAGGGCCTTGATGATTTGCAGCGATAAATTTTTGGATGAAGAATTTAATTTTATCCGCCACATTCTATTATGTAATGGATATCCTAATGATATTCTTGATGTTGTTATGCGTGATAAAATTAATAACTTTCGAAAGGAAAAACAATACAGTGTTCAGAAATGCCCTGTTTATCTACGGCTTCCATTTATTGGTTCTCGAGGTGAGTTTTTGGCTAAGCGTATCTTGTCAGCCGTCCATGACTGCTTTTTCTCTGCTCAACTAATAATTCATTTTGCGACCCGTTCTGCCTTTCCCTCTATGCGCAAGGATCCTCTTCCTCCCCATCATGTTTCCTCCGTGATTTAATTTTTTTAAATGTGGTTGCGGTAGCAACTACATAGGAAGGATGTCCCAGCGTCTAGATTGTAGGATCAGGCAGCATGTCCCATTACACAGTTCTCAATCCGAAGCTCCCAAGAGTCAGTTGGTTAACACTTCCGGTTCAGCGATTACGGAGTACTTAATAAATTGCAGGGATTGTGCGAAGAACTTCAGTCCGAATTGGTTCACTATTCTATCCAGTTCGCACTCTCTTTTCCATTTGAAGGCACTTGAGTCTCTATATATTCGGTCTAGGGAGCCATCTTTGTGTAAGCAAAGAGACTGTCTCCTTGGCCTACACGTCATTATTCTCTAGTGTGTTTCAAATTTCCCCCTCACACACTCCGTTATATATACATATATAATTATTTATTTATTTTTTATTTTTTTTATTTTTTTCCTTCACTCGTTTATTGTGTATATTTGCACAGCTTAAAAAAGGAAGGAATATATATATGTGTATAATTTAATTTTTTTTTTTCCCCCTCCATACCATTAATCTTTCATTTTTAAGTTTTAATTGCATGTAGGTTGTGTGTGACTTATTTATTTTGCAATTTTGAGAAATAGTTCCCAGTTGACCCTGATGAGCTTGGGAACGAAACCGGTTGGTCTGTTTGTATGAGTTATCATCTCTTATTTTTTATTTTATTTTCATAATGCCTTTAAGAAATAATCCATATTTTTTCCTTGCAATACTACGGTTTTGCACCTCCAACAATTTATTTAAATATATATATATATATATATATATATATATATATATATATATATATATATATATATATATAATATAAGTGCAGGTATGCAGAAAATAGAAAAAGAACACGTTGGGTGCATAATCCAGGGTTCCTTAGTATTTTTGGCTTATTTTTAAGAAGACAGTGCTCCATACAGAAGTAGAGCTTTATTATAATAACATTTTTTGATTAAAAATATGATTCCTTCGCTACATAAGAGTTCTCATGTTTCAAAAATGAAAGCCGAAACCATCCAAATAATTATTAAAATTAAGTTGAATTGTGGTGTTTGCATGTTTACTAAACACCACAATTCAACTTAATTTTAATAATTATTTGGATGGTTTCGGCTCTCGTTTTTGAAACTTAAGAACTCTTATGTAGCGAAGGGATCATATTTTTAATCAAAAAATATTATTTTTATATATATATATATATATATATATATATATTACACACGTACACACACACACACACCGAGTGTCCATAGGAATCAACACTGCATGGTGACTGTTGATTTCCTTCTTCAGATCAATCTTTGCATGCACACTCACCAAATACATTGATAAACATCAAATTTATTTATTTATGTTTTTTTTTTGAGGGGTTTCTTATTTGGGACAAGAACATTTCAGCACCACCTCAAACACACACAAATTCATATATTGAATATAAATGCACCTTATATTTACCAACCCATACAATGCATATTTTACAAACACATTTTTTAAAATATTGCATAATTAAGTTCATCCCAAATCCTAATTATGCAATTTAAGTCATGTTTCCCTGCAGACAATGCATTAATGCAATATTTTTCTTTTTGTACTGACAGTAAATTATACCATAAATGTGATAGAGATATATATATATATATATATGTTTGTGTGTACAAGAACAAAGAGTAAGATTTCAACATTCAAAACATTAATTTAAAACAGGACTCAATACAAAAGTAGAGCAATAAATATTTATTATATTCAGTGTTACATTAGAACATGTACATACCCACTACAAAACTGTACATATTGTTTCAACGTTTAAATATTTTATTCGGAAATCCAGTTAATGAAGCACATCTTCCATTTCCATCATTGGAAAGTTTCCCATAAAAGGTAAAAAAAAAGAATTTACATGTGGAGAAAGAAAGGAAGCTAAGTGATTAACAGCAAAAGAGAGAAGAGAAATAAGAAGAAACAGGTCAAGAAAAGGAAATAAAGGTTGAAAAAAGAAAAGGTGGGGAAGGGGGATGAGATAAACTAACAAGGATCAGATTCAACCAATGGAATTCCATCAAATCATAGAATTGGAATTTAAATGGTAACATAGTGGGGTTAGGTTAATGTTTCTAAGACAAAAACTTCCTGTGCTCAGAGACAATTATTCATGGAATGTAAAACACTGCAATAAAATCAATTCCCTTTTCCAATTTATTGAAATTTGAAGGTAAATATTAATTTTAATGTTATTTTATCCTTATTTCTATCTCAATTTCACCACATACTTATTTTTTTTTAAATTTGTTATAATACTTGAATTATTTTTCTCTTTAATAATGCTTTATGTTAAAAAATAATACGAAAGTTTAAATTGTATGTAGTATTCTAATTCATATTGTAAAGTAAAATTTAGTTAAGTATAATTATATTAATATATTAGTATATTAGAAAGTTTGTTTCATAAAACACTGTTACAGTGTTTTATGAAACAAACTTTCTAATATAAATTAGAATATTAAAGCGATTTTAAATGTTTATATTGTAATATTAATTATACTTAACTAAATTTTACTTTACAATATGAATTAGAATACTACATACAATTTAAACTTTCATATTATTTTTTAACATAAAGCATTATTAAAGAGAAAAATAATTCAAGTATTATAACAAATAAATTTTAAAAAAATAAGTATGTGGTGAAATCGAGATAGAAATAAGGGTAAAATAACATTAAAATTAATATTTACCTTCAAATTTCAATAAATTGGAAAAGGGAATTGATTTTATTGCAAATCGGTAAAAAAGAACAGAAGATATAGATGAGCTTAGATTGAAACCCAACTAATTTGGCACCAGTTAGTGTTCTTACCCTTAAGCCATCAACACTCTGCTGAGAAAGGCTGCTAATTTTATGTATATTGTTTTTATGACTGTGAACGAACATTTTAAATTTCTATATTATTATATTAATTTATTAATATTAATTATAAAGTATTATTAAAGAGATTAAGTAACGATGTCTAAAACAATAGATAAATAATAAAAGCAACCAAAGTAAAATCATGATTATGTTAGGGTCCCAGATATGGGCAACTAGCTAACCCCGAAACTGAGGTAAAAGTCACTATGAAAGTGTAACAAATAGGTTTTAATATCAGAAATATTTTGTAAAAAAACTATTACTGGAAATATATTTTTGAAAAAAAAAATATTACCAGCTATACATTTTTAAGGAAAAAAAAATTATACCAGAAATAGATTTTTGACAAAACAATATGATGAAAAAAGTTGTCGGCATTAAATAATCCATTGAGGTTGATATGCTGTAAAACAAAACAAAGACTCAAATATGAGTATCCACTAAAAATAACTTTTGAAGTAATAAGAATACACTAGTTTTAACTAGTTTTAAGCTCATGGTAGGTTCTATAACAATAAAATATCTGTAGAAATTCCCGTTATAGTATCGTTAAATATTTGAGCCTAACAGCTTTAACAAAATATTGCAATAACAATCATAAATATGAATACTGGTCATTATTTTAAGAAGTGGGTACAAATGAAAAGATTTTGAAATTGATAACTGAAGCAGCTGTTAAACACTTCTGTCTTCCCTTCTTGCTTTCATTCATCAAGTAGTGTCTTTTTCACCAGTTTCCACACAATCAAAATTAAATGGTCAATTATAAAGTATTGGCAGGACGTAATGGTCGTGTGAGCTAATGAAGGGAAGAGGAATAAGCACATTTATAATAGGATAGTACTGTGTAACTTCTGACTTAGTAGGAGTAAAGCAATTTTTGTTCTTTCCTCACACCATGTCTTTGTCTTTTGTCTCCACAGAAACAAACCCTGGAACGACTCTTAAAGAAACAAGAAACAAAATCAAAGGGACCAAAGGTAAGTTGGTGATCAATGAAATTCATTTCATCATTATGGTTTCTTGGTAACACTAATGTAAAGGCTTTTACAGCTTTGCAGATGCAATGAAGTCATTTATTATCTAAAAGTAAGAATTATTTGCAAAGACTTCCCCTGCTAAAATAATGTGCAGGATATTAGTCTGCTGGAATAAAATATCATGCACTGCATTTCTCTGTTGAAAAATCATCAGTTAATGATAAAAACACTGCTGATTCTTTGAAGATTTTATATTTATGATGATTGCTAGATCATAGTTTGAGGAATTTGACTAAAAGTTTAAACGCTGTAATCATCATAGAGAACCTATTTTGATTTCCATCAGCATGTCTGATGCTAACCTTCCGGCGAGGAACTCTTTGTGCCTTCTCAGTTTCACGTTTGCCATTGACATGAAGTGGAGTGATTATATTGAATCAATTGCTAGGTCTATTGCTAGAAAATTTGGTTCACTGTATTTTGACAGTTTTTCTTGCCAGAATTCATCTTGCACATTTATAAATCTACCATTAGTCCATGCATTGAATATTGCTGCCATATCTGATCTGGTGTTTCTGCTATATAGCTGGAGATTCTCAACAAAATCCAAAGAATGGTCTGTAATGTTATTGGTCCTGACCTGGCATCTCAACTTCAGTCACTTTCCCAGTGCCATGATATGGCTTATCCCCTGACTTTTCTATTTTCAAAGCAGTTGTTCTGATGAGCTTTCCTCCTTGTTACCATAACCTCATAAATTTAAGCATACTACTAGATTGGCAGTTAGGTCTCACCATTTTACCGCTGAATTAGCTAGATGTAACTGTAAGTTCTATTCTAATACTTTCTTTTTTTGAACTTCTCACCCGTGGAACTCTCTTTTAGCTTCTTGCTTTCTTGTCAGCTATGATATTTAAAAATTTAAATGCAATGTCAATCAACATCTTCTGTCTTTCTGAATCCTGTTCTTTTATTGTCCTTTCTCTTCACTAAAGTCTTGTTCTCTTTTACTCCCAGTAATCCCTTGTGTCTTAGTAGCATTATTACCTTGCTTAGGGTGAATTATTAAAAAAAAGAAAAAAGAAAAAAAGTAAGCTCATCATCATGAGTGTATACTATGATAAAAAGGCTCAGACTATCAGCTTTCAATTAAACAGATTAATTAAGGGATACTGAATATATTTCTTTTAAACCCAAATGTGGCTGAGGTGGCAAATTTTTACTATTTAATCTTTTTTTTTTTTTTTTTTTTTTTTTTTTTTAATCTAAAAATAAAAAGGCTTTAATACAATATTCATTGCTGTATGATATAAAATTACTAAATTTAAGATAAAGACTATTATTTAGTTTGTCTTGACAGTATGGTTTGGTGGAAGTGACCCCTCACTCAAAGCTTATTGAAACTCTATCCTGGAGACCATGTTATTATATTACAGTAGCTTAAAAGCTGCTCTATTGGGCAGCATTTAATCTAGCTCCTTTGGCGGGATCTTGATTGGGCCTTCATCATTATAGGTAGGGAGGAGTAGATTGGATAGGCAACAATAAACTACAGAACTTGAAATTTACCTCTGCATTTAAGTATTGCAATAATATATAAGCTTACCTTTTAAAAGTTCAACAATAATTTTTCTGCCGACACTTAATTTAAAGACAATTTGATGTACGTAGGTCCTTACTTTCTGTACAACCGTTTTTATTTTATTGGTGACTTTCACTGGATTTTGCAATTAATTTTATTTACTCCCAAATTTATTTCCAAATTATAAAAATTATCATACAAAAAAAATTGTTGTAAAAAAAAAAAATAAAAAAAATTACTAAAAAAAAAAAAAAATGGGGAAAACAATCACAATAATGAAAACTTGGGAATCCAAGATTTGAGGATTGCAGGTCCAAATCTGGCCCGAAATGTTTTTAATTTGCTCCTGGATTTGGCCTGATTCCAAAATAGTATGATATGTCGGGCTACAGCCTCTAGGTGTAAAGTTGAAAAAGTGTGACACAGTGACACACTGATACTTGCATTTATTATATAGAAGATTCATTTCAGGAATAATTTTAAAAAGTTTAATAATTTAAAAAAATATTAACAGAAGAATGATATAAATGAGATAAATAAGCTAAGCCCCAAATTTTTTTCTATGCTGTTATACACTGTACAAGGCCCAAGTGCCACTCAAGGTAGAGGGTTACAGAGTAAGAGGCACCATTCCAAGCAAGGTGATAATGCCACCAGGACGTAAGGAATGACTGGAAGTGAAAGAAAAGAAAAAGGCTTTAGAAGTAACTGTCATCCCAATCCTAAACAGGAAAGATAAACCTCTACTCCTGTTAAAAAAGACCAGGTAGGAGTGTGAACATGGCGATAGATGAACCTATCTATTTCTATAAAGGAAAGAAAAAAAAAAAAAGAAAATAAATAGTAAATCAAATTTTGGGCAGAGGTGTTAGAAGTATAGAGTTGAAGAAGACTTTAGAAGGAACTGAAAACGGATAAACCTCCTGTTCAAAAGACCAGGAAGGAGTGTGAACTGGATGATAGGTGAACCTATCTACTCTGAGTGAGGAAAGGGGAAAAAAAAAAAAAAGTAAATAGTAAACAAAATATCAGCGTTTTAGGCAAAGATGTTAGAAGTATAGATTTTAGAAGGAATCAGAAAACACAATCCTAAACAGGCTGTCTTGGGTAAGACGTTAAATTACATCCAGCAGCAAGGCCTCTGATCAGGAGGTTTTGAGGAGCGTGGAAGCACCTCTTAATTGCTGGTGTTCCCATGTCCACCCTGACCCGGGGTGGTAGCATCTGTTAGGGTCCCAGCTATAGGTAAATAGCTAACTATTACCAGCAATACTTTTTTGAAAAAAATTAATACCAGCAATACAATTTGAAGGAAAAATATTACCAGAAACAGATTTTTGACAAAACAAAATATTACCAGCAATAAAAAATTTTGTCATTAAATAATCCATTGAGGTTGATATGCTGTAAGACAAAATAAACCAAACCAATCTAAACCAAAGAATACATATTCTATTCATACGAATCTATCCTAAAAATTTTGTTGGCATTAAATAACCCACTGAGGTTGATATGCCGTAAAACAAAATAAACCAAACCTAAACAGGAAACAAGGGATAAACCTCTATTCCTGTTCAAAAGACTCAACTCCGTGATATGCTCAATTAAATTCAAACTTTGTTGTAGTAGAATCTATTAACTGTTACACTGCAGCAGGTGACAATTGTGGCTGAATGATAAAATTCTGCACGAAAAATTTTGCTTTTAATAGCTGCCGTATAAGTTAAATCAGGATGCGCGGTGGAGTCATGGATAGTGGCTCGGATTGAGGAATTGGAGAGCTGGGTTCAAATTCCAGTCAAATCCATTACATTCACTTATGTGCTAATACACTTGGGAAAAGTATGAATTCTCCTCTTCTCCCTTCAACCATAAGTAAATAGCAGAACAGACCAAGTTCTATAGCCTTGGATGGCAACTGGTCTACCGCACAAAAGAAATGGCAACCTACTGCAGGTGTGGAGGGGGGGGAATCTGCCTCGCATGTATCATGCATGGCACATAACTAACTGATAAGTTAAATCAGGGATTTATTGCATGATGGTAGTTAAACACGTTTGTTTCATTTTGTTTTCCATCAGCCTTGGGGAAGATGTAATAAAGACTATTAGTAAATTTCTTCCTGCCATATCAAGGAAGAGCAGGAAACAAATCAATATCTTTTTAAGAAATATTAAGTACTAAGGAATTTCTGTTTTTGAGAAACAATTCTAATGACAAATGTACCATCTTAACTATTTATCATACATGACAGTTAAGAATAAATTTGTAACACATTAACATATAACAATGTCTGATCTGTTTCCCGAGTATGCATCCATGTTGTACATGTGTTTACCTCAAGACAGCAATTAAGACCGAAGATGAAGTCTTGTGCATCAGCAGGTTTATTAAAGGCTAAAAGGATAAAACTAGAAAAAGAAATAAATACACATATAAGACTAGTTTGGTTTGAATAAGAAACAAACAAAAGGGTGAAAAGGAATATGACAAAAGTAGATAGACGTTTGAACACAGATGCAAGTTCAGCTGTCAAAATGGGTAAAGGAAGGTAGTGGATACTTTGCCAACATGAGTATTTTTAATTTATTTGTTTAAACGTTATTTTTAATGGATAATCGTATTTGAGTAGATGCTTTTTTATTATTATTAAACAGTTCATTTATTTATTTACATCTACCAGCCTGAACTAGAAAAAGAAATAAAAATATATATAAGACTAGTTTGGTCTGAATAAGAAACAAACAAAAGGGTGAAAAGAAGTATGAAAAAAGTAGGTGGGGGCTTGAACGCAGAAGCAAGACCATTCATTTTAATGAGTAAAGGATGGTAGCATAACTTCCTAGAAAAGAAGAAAGTTACATGAACATTACATTTGGGAACAGTGTGTACAGATGTGTGTTGTGATATAATGGAAATCTGCTCAGAATGAGAAATTTACAGATCCTCATCACCATCTATCATCTTCAGTTATAATATTGTGATTTTTATCCTGCTCTTGTGTTCAGACATCCTTGTCACCATCTATCATAACTTCAGTTATAATATTGTGACTTTTATCCTGCTCTTGTGTTCAGACATCCTTGTCACCATCTATCATAACTTTCTGTTGTAAGGTTATTATTGTAACACAAACTCTTACTTGGTATAATGTAATTTGTTAAAGTATTCTCTATATGTAATGCATGTATAGTTAGTATGAAGACTGACTCCAATACAACTACTCTTGACCTCATACCATGGAACACTTTATAGTATTGGACAAGTTGATAGTCACCAGGTGTGTACTCTTTACTCAACAACAATAACAAACAAGAGTGAAAAGGAATATTACAAAATTTTAATTTATTTGTTTAAACATTATTTTTAATGGATAATCGTATTTGAGTAGATGCTCTGTTTTTATTATTATTGTAATGTCAATGAATACTCATCACTTGATGATGCTTGTTGTAGCACAGACTTTAAACAACTATAGTAACACCGTTGAACAATACTAGTGTCAGACACCTTTGAATAACACTTGCACTAAAAGTACTTGCTTGACAATACTCACTCAGAAAGTAACCACCAAATAGTGATCCATATAGTGATCAATTAGATGCCATACTAATTGCCGTATATATATTTCCTTTACTAATCTACTTATTCAAAATGGATTGCCTGTGTTTGCTTTCTGGTGATCCGTGTTCCAACTCCAGTGTCGGCAGCAACACTTTATTCTTATATAACACTTCCCCTTTGAGATGACTTCTCCTGGAGTCTATACTTCTTCAGCTTCAATTCAGTAGTTAGAAATTCTGTTAGCATTTATTTTTCTTTTGCCATAAACCCTTGGTTCAACAATTCCTGATGGTGTGAGTACATTTAAAGGGTCATACAGAATTTTCATTGGTACCTCTTTTCGGGGACTTTTTAAATCAGTGAATCTACGTTTTTAACTGATTATGGTGTCACTTATGTTCCCACATTTGTCCCTGTACCATGTATGTCATTTTGCTGATCAGTTTTTTTCATAATACCATCTTCCGAGAATTCCTTTCCATGCTGATACATCTTAAAAAAATACTCTATCTCCAGGTTTGAAGTATTTACTTTTATTCTTATTTCTTGATGTTCTCGCTTTGTGTTCTGGTAATAACTTATTGAAAACGGGCTTAATCTTCCTGGTGAACATCAACTCTGCAGGTGACATTCCAGACATGGTTTTTGGGTTTGGTGTTATTCTGTAAATACTCAGAAATTGCTGAATCATTACTTCATCTGACTCCTCTCCCCTCTGACATTTTTTAGTGCCCCTTAAAACGTATTGACAAATCATTCTGCTTGTCAATTTGATCTTGGGTGATAAGGGGAAGTTGTAATATGTTCTATTATTAATGATTTGCAAAAAAACTTATATTCACTAGATGTGAATTGAGCCCCATTATCTGAAACAATAGTCAGGAAGACCGAACCTTGCAAAAATCTTATGTAGGAAATTTATCATTACTACAGTAGTCGGTTTTCTACATTTTAATATTTCTGGCTATTTTGTGTAACTGTCAACTACCACTAGATAGTATGCTCGGCTTAATGGTCCTGCGAAGTCTATATATATTCTGGACCATGGCATATCGATTTTCGGCCAAGGTTGAATTTTGATAGGCGGTGACTTCACTGCCAGAGCACAACCTTTGCATGATTTCACTAAATTTTCGATATGCATTTTTGGCCAGTAAGTATAACACCTCATTAAGGATTTCATTCTAGAAATTCCTGGATGTCCTCTGTGAAATTCTTTTAACATATGTCTTTGCAACGATGCTGGTATCACCACTCTCTCTGCGTATATAAATACATCATTACATAATGAAAATGCATTATTTCTAATAATATTTTTTTCTTAATTTCTCCTTCATTTTCATTAAAAAGTCATCTTTCTCAGCCTTAATTTTTATTTCCTCCAATGTTATGGGCAGTTCTCTTACGGTATTGTATAATATGTTATTAATTTCATTTTCGGACATTATCACTGCAATTACTGTGTCTTCAAGTGGTTTATGGAATCTTGGTATTAGTTTAGACAATCTGTATGCATGACTTAATTTTTTGGATGGTAGAAATTCCATTTTATAATTCAATAGAATAGTTCCCCAGCGCTGCAGTCTATTTGCTGTATGTGTGGGAACACACTTTTTTGATCGATATATGGACAATGGTCTATCTGTTGTATGAATTCTCTACCATGTATGAGTTTGTGAAACTTTTTCATGACAAAAGTGATGACCAATGCTTCCTTTTCTATCTGATTGTAGCTTCTTCCAGCTGCAATCAATGATCTTGAAGCATAAGCTATTGGTTTAGTTGTTCTGTCCTCATATTTGTGTAGTATCACTGCTTCAATACCTGAATCACTTGTATCTGATGCAACCACAATCTTAAATTTAGTGTCAAAATGAACTAGTGACAAATCCGATGTTAAGACTTTCTTGATCTCTTCAAAAACACTTTGAGATTTAACTGTCCAATTCCATTTCACATCTTTCTTCAGCATTTTATTCAAGTGTGCTCTTAATTTGTGCATATTAGGTATATATATATATATATATATATATATATATATGATAGTAGTTAGCAAACCCTAAAAATGCTTGTAACTTTGTTACGTTTCTTGGAGCGGGCATGCCTTTTATTGCACACGTCCTTGAAGGATCCAGTTGTCTACTGTTTTCATCAATAATTTGTCCTAGATATTTAAGTCTGAACATAAACAATTCATATTTTCCTTCACTAATCTTAAAACCATATTCTTTGATTCTCTCAAATACTTTCTTTACATCTTCTGCATGTTGCTTTCAGGTCTTACTTTTAATAAGTATGTCATCCAAATATGCTTGAACACAATCCAAACCGGCAAGTATGGTATTCATTATCTGTTGGAATATGCTTGGTGCTACCTTTATACTGAAAGGAAGTTGGTTGAATTTGTATAATCCTCTATGAGTTGTAATTGTTAATACTTTTGAGCAGTCTTCGTCTACTTGTACTAGTAAGTAAGCGTCTGACAGGTCCAATTTAGAAAAAAAAAAAATTACCTCCATTCAATCTGGCAAAAAATTTCCTCTGGACTTGGTAACAGATTTTATCAAGAATCTCTATCTCCCTCTCATATATATATATATATATATATATATATATATATATATATATATATATATATATATATATATATAAGGTGTCCATAAAGTTCGTGTGCGCTTTAAAAAATTTATAACTTTATTTGTATTTGCAATAAAAATAATTTGTAAAAAAAGATTAGAAAGAAGTAAATCTATAATTTTTAAGGTTTTATTGAAATTTTATTTAAGTTTCCACATGTTCTCCATCATTAGCAATACAAAGGGTAATACGATTTTGCAGTTCACAGACAGAAAACATTTGTCAACCGATTTACAGTAATGCATGAAATCACATTAGCTATTTTAGCTATAGCTAGGTACATTAAACTTTATAACATTTTTTTACAGATTATTTCTATTGCAAATACAAATAAAGTTATAAGTTTTTTTAAAGTGCACACAAACTTTACAGACACCCTGTATTATATATATATTTTTATATATATATATGACAAATGGTAAAACTTATAAATGTCTAAGATAGATTCTAGCTAGAAAAATTGTCTTGCACAACACAGTGAACCGACTTTCCGAGCTTTAGACCTGGCAATTGACTGCCATGAAAAGATTTATAGAAAAGATTAGTGTTGGAAAAGTGACTGAAACCAAGATGCCAGGCTTAGTATTATATATTCTTTGGATTTTAAGCAGATTTTTTTTTTGTCTTGCACAACACAGTGAAGCAACTTCCCTCGATGCAGACCTCACACTTGATTCAATATCATCTTTCTATTTCATGCTAGCAAAAAGTGAATTCTTTAGTGAATTATTTGAACACAGTGGGTTAATAACTGATGAAATCCATTATAATTCTTTTCTTGTTTTCCTTTTCTTTTCTTCTTTTAGATAAAAAGTAGCAAAAGATTAGAAATTCCACGTTACCGGTATGTCAACGGCGTGTCCGGAATCTTTATTTCCATGCCTTTTGGATTTGATTTCCCTGTCAGCACAGTGCCAATTCAAGAGTAAGATCTTTTGACTATATTTACTTTTAATTCTGTGTAAATAACAGAAGTTAGTACCAAACAAAAAGAAATTGGTCTGTATGGTTCACCACCTGTTGTTTTCATTAAAAAATATTAACTTAAAATTATTACCAGCAATACAATTTTGAAGGAAAAATATTACCAGAAACAGATTTGACAAAACAAAATATTACCAGCAATAAAAAAAATTTGTCATTAAATAATCCATTGAGGTTGATATGCTGTAAGACAAAATAAACCAAACCAATCTAAACCAAAGAATACATATTCTATTCATATGAATCTATCCTAAAAATGTTGTCGGCATTAAATAATCCATTGAGGTTGATATGCCGTAAAACAAATTAAACCAAACCTAAACAGGAAACAAGGGATAAACCTCTATTCCTGTTCAAAAGACTCAACTCTGTGATATGCTCAATTAAATTCAAACTTTGTTGTAGTAGAATCCATTAACTGTTACACTGCAGAAGGTGACAATTGTGGCCGAATGATAAAATTCTGCACGAAAACTTTTGTTGGTGTTCCCAGGTCCACCCTGACCAGGATGGTAGCATCTGTTAGGGTCCCAGCTTCGGACAAATAGTTAACACCTAAACTTGTGTCGAAATACTATGAAAGTGCAAAAACAGGTTTTAATACGAGAAATACTTTGTAAAAAAAAAATTATTACTGGCAATAATTTTTTTATGGAAAAATATTATCAGCAATACTTAAAAAGAAAAAATTACCAGCAATACAAACGGCTATACATTTTTTGAAAAAAATATTACCAGCTATACATTTTTTTTGAAGAAAAAATATTCCCAGAAATAGATTTTTGAAGAAAAAAATATTACCAGAAATACATTTCGTTAAAAAAATACTACCAGCAATAAAAATTGTCGGCATTAAATAACCCATTGAGGTTGAACTGTCAGAAAACAAACCAAACCAAACTGGGGTCAAAACACTATGAAAGTGTAAAAATAGGTTTTAATACCAGAAAAACTTTGTAAAAAAAATATTACCAGCAATACATTTTTGAAAAAAAAATATTACCAGTGATACATAGTTGAAGAAAAAAAATATTACCAGAAATAGATTTTTGGAAAAAAAAAATTACCAACAATAAAAAATTTAGTTGGCATTAAATAACCCATTGAGGTTGATATGCTGTAAAACAAACCAAAAAAAAAAAAAATTATGGCACCTTCCTTAATGAATTTAATATCAGTATTAAGAAGTTGATCTAAGAATTCTATAACACCACTTGCCAACAGGGTCACAGGGTTATAGTCACCAATTAATATGACGTCTTTTGGCTGCTGCCTACACCTTGTGATGTAACCATGTTTTGTGGTCCAGTCCTCAGGGTCTTAGGACAACATTTTAACCATTGGCTAACTCTGTGCTGGTCAATGCTGACACCGGTCCAAACTGGTTATTGGTTGCTGGCCTCTTCAGTCCACACCTCTGCCCACATTGGGCCTTGTCTAAACTTCTAGAGGAGCTGGGTTCTCAGCCCAAGTCTCTGAGCTCCCAAAGTCATCTGCTTATAAGCACTTCAGCCCAAAACTGGCATGGATCCAAAGATTTCTTGGGATTTGGTGATTCTCCAATCCTCACATTAATCCCAATAGAGGTTTTCTTCCCTATTTCTGCTTAATCAACTTTTCAAATATGGATAATTATCCACGTTCCTTGGGAGTAGTCACAGGGATTACTCCTCCCTTAACTCTAACCTGCTTCACTTCACATCTCACACTACCACTCCACACAGGCAGGGCTAAATTCTACCTCTGCCTGCTTATTTCCTTGGTTATTCTAACCCTACCCACTTCTCAGGGTATTTTTAACAGTCTTTGTGACAAATCTAATTTTTAAAGTGCATAGGAGAAATGGTGTAGCTTATTCTCATTAATTTCAATTCACTGACTTCCTTCTAATTCCCCACTACACAGACAGATTTCTGTATCTGCTTGATTTTGATGTCTCCAATTCGAAGCTAACATCTTTGGCTGCCTTTCTTGCTTCTGACAACCCTAACTTCTGTCTTGTTATAGTTAATGTTTAGTCTCTTCTTAGTTTCCTTTGCTACTTTCTCCAGGAGGTTTTCTAGTTGAGTTTACATCAAAACAATATCACATAAGCACATACTTTAATCCTGTGTGTAGTTTCACCCCAAGGAAGGCGGGAAGCCACTAGGACGCAAAGGGTTACAGAAGATTTGGATCAAGAGCAGATAGGAGTGATAGAGGAAAGGATGAGGAGAAGGATAGTGGATAGATCAAGACAACTGGAGATGTCGATTGACATTACATTTGAATAGTTGGAGATTATAGCTCTCGGGGAAACTGGAATAGGAAAGGGAGTTCCACAGGCGAGAGGTGTGAGATATGAAGCTATTGAAGTAGAAGAGACGGCTACATTTAGTAGTTTTGACAGTGAAAGGGTGAGAGCGGGATGCCAGCCTCGTAGGGCGCTTGAACTCATGAAGTCTGGGAACCAGCAAATGCAGCTCCTCGGAGCAATTACCATGAAAGTATTTATAAAAAAGACAGAGAGAGGTGACGACGCATCTGTGGGAGAGTGACTGTAGACAAGATGCCAGAACAGGGCCAATTATATTGCATATCCACCTCTGGATCTTATCAAGAACCCTGAGGCAAACAGAAAGGGCTCCAGACCATAAATGGCAGCAATACTCCATGCAAGGGCGAATTGTTGATTTGTAGATCTGAATGATCAATTCTGGGGAGAAAAATTTCCTGGGGCATATATGATACAATTATAAAAGCAGAGAAATTCTAGGGATAAAAGCTTATTTTCATATATAAAGCACACCTGATTTTAGAGCAAACAAAATAACCAAAACTTATTGTTATCTTCCCAGGGGTGAAATGTGGCTTTGTGAAGAAAGATGGAATGAAAGGATAAACTATTAAAAAAACTTTATTAAATGAAAATACAGTTGAGATAGCGAGTAGAACTGCTGGATGTCTAATGATAAGATGTGAGCCTCTGAGATCTGTATAGTTTACATTCGTGTCATGGCCTAACTCCCTCTACCTAGAATGCCCTGTCCTTTCAAAAAGGGGATGTGACACAAACCTTTTGCATCCTTCGAGTCAAAGGGGAATAACTTTTAAATATTTTCATTAGGACCAACTGTGCCCTAACACTTATGAAACAAAAAAGAGAGACATTTTGTTTACTTTTGTGATTCATAAGCATTACATTTGATTTGTTTAATTTGTTCTTTATAGCTTATCAACCCTTTGCAGGTTATTTAAAGCCAGAAAATACTTTTAGATTGTATTTTTTGAGATAATAATGGTTTAATGATACAAATCTTTACTAATTAACTCATAACTGGGGGGAGAAGAAGTGGATTTACACTTTTCCCATGGGTATTTGTACATAAGTGAATATAACAAACCTGATTGGAATTGGAACTTGGCTCCCCAATTAACAATTCTGGGCTATTATCCATTATACCACTCACACATCCAAGCATACATCACCTGGGATTCCCAAACATTCACTCATCTAGGTACTGACCAGGTTGGACATTGCTTAACTTCAGTGATCATATGGGAACCAGTGATGTCACCATAATCCTGGGTAAGCATTATGATAATCTCTATCTATAAAAGGCAGAATGTGTGTGTGTGTGTGTGTAACGAATGCACAGCTGCAATTTTCGACGGATTTGCACCAAAATTTACATGCACATGCTCCAAGTTAGCAGGAAGGCCAAGACCGACTTTGCATTTCCCAACTCCCATCGATAGTGGAAATAATCGATTTTTTTCATGCTTCTACAACACTTTTCATGTAGTTTCTGGCCATTTTTTACTGAGAGCCAACAGCTGACTGACATGAATGTTAACTAGCATGCTAGCATGCAAAAAAAATCGATAGCTACATTCGTCACAAGTGGGAAAAATTTAAACCTGCATGGCACTTTACTCCAATTGGCTCATTCGCTCGCTTAAACTCAACGTTGATTCTGATTCTGCAGAATTGGTTTGGGTGTGAAAAAGTATTTGTTGTTAACATTCTTTTTTCATTCGGTTCTTCCAGTTACAACTCCTTTTTTAAAGCTGATCGTTTTGTGTTCATTTTGTTTAGTTCTTTTTTTCATAAGATTTAATGTTTAGTATAGAGCTTAGAAAAAATTTGCAGTGTGAGATAGGCTAGAAATAAGGCATGTAGCAACATCAGCACGGCAAAGGGCACTCCTTTAAAGGCAAGAGAGAGCAAAAATATTTTAAGTCAAGTGATAGCGATTGCTGTATGAAACGTATGATTTTTGAATCAAGCACAGGCAACGCCGGGCCATGCTGCTAGTGACAACTAAATGACCACTGGAGTATAAGACAACTAAATCGCCAATAAATATTAAGAAATTAAATTGAAATAATTATAATAAATTGGATAAATATTGCTTTTTATTTTTTTTTTTTTTTTTTTTTGTGTGTGACAATCTGTTCAAAATTATTTATGAAAAAGACTACGAGGAGTCCATGTCATTTTTCTGTGCACATGAGCATCCAAGATCTGTGGGTGGAAAATTATCTTCATAGAACCCCTCAAACTCTCCATTGTCATCGGACATGTAGAACATTAAATTCTTTCTTTGCTATGTATCATTTTGTATTTCCTTTTTTATCATAAATTAAATAATAATTTTACTTTTTTGAATGATTTCCAAATCACACCTAGGTGTCTAGTAGGCTTAACAAAATCAGAGAAAAAAAATTATGGAACTATATGGGACTTAGAGGAGAATCATGAAAGATTTATTTCCCTTTGTTGCAATACGCCATTAGATAGACATTAGCTCTATGCTAAACAGATAAATCCAATTTGAACTGATTTTATCTGTTTTGAGTCCTGAAAAAAGTAGGATTGAGTTCTAAATTAAAGTATAAGACAATGCAGACACAATTTTGGATGAAAAATCCTGCATCTTCTACACACAGTTTTATGGCGTGTGTATAATTATATAAATATATATAATGGACTCTCCCATCAAGCAACTCCTAGGAACTGACAGCCAGACACTTGCACATATGATTTGATTATAGTGGTGAAGAGCCGAATACAGAGACCTGGTGCACCATGTGTCACAAGGCCCTCTAACGACCCTCTGCAGGTTTTGAATTCAGAGTTGTCCTTCTTATAGAACCCAGTCTGTCCTGCTATTTACCCATAGCTAGAAGGAAAAGAGGATTCATGTAAGCCAGCTCACACTGAAGATCCATTTAGGTGAAACCTAGGTAGGTTTTCCTGGCTCTTTAGGATTTATTTTAGTTATTCCTACTCTACTTAACGTATTGAACACTCTACGTTTAGCTTGACTACTCGTTTGGGGTTTTTTTCTTTGGACTAAAGACTTGAGGCACTGGACGATTTGTTTTGCCCTGTTCTGATGTTTTTAGTTTTTTTTGTTTTTTTTTTCTCAGATACCAATTTGTTTTGGCATATCTACAAGTTGTGCTCTCTGAGTTTTTTTTCAAAACAAGTATTACTATTATATATATATATATATATATATATATATATATATATATATATATATATATATATATATTCATATATTCATTTCATTAAATGATATAGACAAGTGTTGTCGATTTATTTTATGTAAATTTTTTTCGTAATGTCTGATAAGTTTAATAACATTATCGTTGAATGAAGAAAGAAATTCACAATATTGATCCATATTTTTTAATACAATCTAAGCTTTCGGCTTAAACAAGCCATTATCAAAGATGTCAATTACAACATATTAAGCAATATATGGACAAGACAGTGATGATAGTCTGTCAATGTTTACATAGATGATTTCTAAGCAACGATAAACATGCGCATATAAGACACTAGAAGCGAAAATTGCACCGCATCTCATGACATCACACATGACCACACGAGAGTGAATTGGAGAAGTATGAAGTATGGAAAGCATACATGAAAACAATAGGCAAAACTAAAAATCCTTGAAGCATTATACATCAAACAGTTAAAACCCAACCTAAACAAAAAATCAATTATGGCATCTCTACAAATATTCTTAAATGTCTATAATTGGTAACAGAAGCCATTGGTTAATTGAACGTGTATGAATGAAAAGATGCTGCCTAAATACACACAATATATATATATATATATATATATATATATATATATATATATATATATATATATATTCAAGTCTAAGTAATAAAGAGGTTCTATCTTTGTTATCAGCTCTTTTAGATTTACTGGTGTTGAAAATTTGCTTGCTTCCAAGATACATCTCTGATTCAATCTAATCAAAAAAGCAATGTTCCATATCCCTTTATGTAAATCTGTAGACACTTTTCACAATGAGAAACTAAAGTCAACAGTTTGCCACTCTGCAATCAAAATTTCTCTTTCATAAGATTTCTGTAATATTTAGTCTGGTAGACAAAAATAATTGTACTGTTTAATAAATAAACGGAGCATCTACTCAAATATGGGCATCTACTAAAAATAATGTTTAATAAAATCTGTCAGATTAATAAATAAAAATCCATTAGCTCTTTAGAAATTGTTTTGTTTACGTTAGGATACAAAACTGAGCAGATATGAATGTTTTGAGAGTCTGAGAAAGATTTGCATTTATAAGGCACTGTTCGAATTTACTCTAATGACAGTTTCTCTTGTCAAGAGGGATATGAGTTTAAATTCTGCTGGAAAGCACATATGTTTCTGACTGAACTCTGACTCTGAAATACAATTCATTGATTTTTTTTTTTTTTTAAATGACCATTATTTATTAAAAAAAGTTTGAACAAAGTAACTATAAACAAAATTATTTACATTATTCAAACTATTGTCCTCATCTTTGTCGCCATATTTAATACAATGTTTCGGCCGTTGTACACTCCAGCCTTCCTCAGGTGGTTGGAATGTCGAACTGAACCCTTTATTTCGCTCACTGGGGTAGACTGTTCTAGTTCTATGTGCCATGTTTAATGGATATCAGTTATCAGTTATTTGTGATACGTTTCATCCATGAGGACTTTATTGGACTGGGTTTGTCAATGTTTTTGTGACTACACGTACATGAATGAGAGCCGCTGTAGCTTCAAAATTTTTTAAAATAATTTTTTCCAATCTAGCCAAGTTCATCTATATTTTTTTTCTTTGTTTTTAGTTTTACAGTATGCTATATTGATTAAAGTGGTCATATCAGGGATAGAGCATATGTAATATAAAAGTGGACATTGAAGTCAACACCCAGTGCTGATGGTCTGGTTCATGTGTCAGTATCCTTATATATATATATATATATATATATATATATATATATATATATATATATATACCCAAGTATATAATTGGTATATATGGAATGAATTCCAATAACCAACAATTACTATTCTTAAAAGAGTGCTCAATACAAAGTAGAGCAGATATAATTATTATAAAAAAATTATAACATAAGTATGTTATAAAATCACTACAAAAATAGCCATTTTCTTTCAACACACTTGGTGTCTTATCAAGTGATGATGTTGAAGATAAAATAATGGTTTTAAATAAATGGTTTTTAGTTTTTTTCTTTTAAAACCATTTATTTTATCTTCAACATCATCACTTGATAAGACACCGAGTGTGTTGAAAGAAAATGGCTATTTTTGTAGTGATTTTATAACATACTTATATTATAATTTTTTATAAATAATTATATATATATATATATATATATATATATATATATATATATATATATATATATACACACACTTTAAAATTGAAAAAAAAACATAATTTCACTTTAATCTTTTAAAAGGCAAGAAACTCATTGTGGTTTTCCTTGAATGTGGGTAACTGTTTCTTATTAGACTTAACAAGGTTTGCTGTTTGTGGTTAATCAATGTCTCCTAACCTTTAGCCCTTTCCTGTGCAATGATCTTTTTGTTGGGGCTGCAACATTTTCTCTGTGATGTGATCTCTTCCCTCATTATCTTATTGAGGTTGAAATGTTGTTAAATACAAAAACCTAAACCAACACTCATCATCTTATATAATTTATATACTACTAGCTGTTTAACCCGTCTTTGACTGGGTGTTTCATTAATGGGAATTTTTGACATTCAGTTGGAGGAGTTTAAAGTCAGCCCACTTGAAAATTGGGGGCACATCTCCAAATAGGGGTTAACAATTTGAATATGGAGGGTGGCCCTGAAAAGGGCCGTTATTGCATTCTTAATCTTGCAAAGAAGGAACCTCTTCCATGGACCACCATAATAATAATATACGATAATTTTTATTTATAATTCTAATCTTTTGCATTAGATTTCAACTCTCTGAATTGATTGTACACTGTTTTTTTTACAGACATTAAATTTTGCCTTTGATTTTTGTGCAAAGTGTAAAAAAAATTAGTTTTTTCTATTTTTCACCTTCAAGGTTGTAATTTTTTCCAGCCAATTTGGACTCAAAACCAGCACTGAAGAATTATCTATCAAACAAAAAAAAATTTCAACAAAATCAGATGAAAACTGTGGAAACGCATAAACAACATCCAATCTCACATACATACACATTTTCAGAATTATAGATATAGATAATCTCAGTGACTAGTTAGGAATTGAACTTCACAACTTTATTCCATTAGTTATTCAGTCTAATATCCTCATCTTTGTTTTTTTTATCGGTTGAAACATAATAAAAATACCGAAGATGAATCTAAATAATTACAGAACAACAAAACCATTGATTTTTTTTAAACATTAGGCATTTTTCAGAAACCAACATTTAAAAAAAAAAGAAAAATTTATTCACTATTATATCCCAGGTTGATGGGATGAACAAAAATGAATGAAAATAAGACAAATGTATTTTAACACATAATAAAACAACTTTTATTCATTTACTGCCTGAGAACAGCAAGGATTAGTTTGGATTAAAACCATGAATTTCACATGTGTGTCAGCTTCTCACCATGTTGAATTCAGAAGTGCCACACTGATCTCCAAGACAAGGGAGGTAACTCCATTGTATTTTGTGTTATTTTCCCATTATAGGGGGAAAAAGTTAGCATACTCTAACATTCACGAAACCAACCAGCAAGGATTATTATTATTATAATCAGCAGCATTAGAATTTACCTCTTTACAATCAATATCTAATAGTTATTACTATTTACGATAAGTTTTCACAAATCTCTAGAACCTTCCTCAGTATTCTTCCTGACCTTATCATTGCTGGTGTCGGAACAGCCTCAATCTTTTCTTAGATCTCCAATTCTGCCAATCTTACTTACTAGTCTTCTAAATATGTAATTTGTTATATACACAGCCCTAACTATATAATGTTTTAAATCTTAAGTTCTCAAGTGAAGTCTTAGTAATTTATATGGCTTGATTTAAAAAAAAAAAAAAAAAAAAAATGCAATTGAGCAGTCTTCTTGCTTCCAGATTATAAATTTTTCAAAACATTCTTCGTTTTTTTTTTTTTTTTGTTTTGTGCCAAATTTTTATTATTGGTTAGGTTTCCAGAATGTGAATTTTAAATCTGCAGAGTGAGTGTAGCATGAATGCTAAGTTATAATGAAGAATTATTATTGATACTTTTGTCTTTGCAGACCCTCCAAGGTGCCTATGTGTGGTGTACGGAACTGCACCCAACCAAAGAAATATTCCTGTTCCAAGACAGGAGTACCACTTTGCAGCCTCCAGTGCTATAAGAAAAACTTGCTTATTCATAAGCTTGTAATGTAAGCAATTTGTATATAATGTAGAAGGGACACTCCACAAGTAATGCCTCCCAATTTATTTTCATGGAAACTGTAACACAACAATATCGTTGGAGGAACTTTTTAGTTGTAAGAAACAATTTTCCAACTCTGTTGGCTTTGTATTTTCACCAACAATTATGAAGTGCCTGGATGTTGTGCTTGTAAAAATCTGCACCAGTTGAGGCAACCCACTTCTGAAACTCATTACCTCCATGCTAACTGTGCTCACATTCACTTTTTGGTCTCCATAAACATTCAGCAAGTATCAATGAATGTCAGTTGGTGTAATTATTTTTAATGTGGAGTAATTCAATGATAAACTGCTATAATGCCTGCATTTTCATGTTGGATGCCATTTTGCCAGTTGCCTTTCAGCTGCTGTGATGAACAAGTTGAAAGAAAAATTATGGGTTATTGGTAGGAAGGTTCAACCTCTGCTGTCATGTTAACAACATTCACTTCTGACATTGTGAGCTTTCATAACAAAGCAGGAACCGTTACTTTTGGAGCAACCCTCATATTTGTATTGATATTAACCAAAATAAAACTGTTTTTGTTTGTTTTGTTAATATACTGTTTTGGTTTGTTTTTCTTATTTTCTTTTTTTTTCTTTTACTAACTTGATGGCATACAAGATCTACTTTTGCCCAAATATTAGAATTCCATTTTTTTTTTTTTTTTTTTTTAATGCACAAAAAAAAAACTTCTGAACTCAGCCAAACAAGGAACATGAATGAATTTCGAGTAACATTCAATATACCATTCAACAATTTTTTAAATATTTCCTTTTGAAACTAAGTTAAATAAATCTCATCAAAATAGGTTAAAAACTACTTGGATTTTGATTTTTGATTCTGTTGATTGTTGACCTCAGTGTCTTCCTTTTATCTGCACCCAAAAATAGAACATACATGGACACTAACCAACTAGCTAGATGTGACTAGATTGAAAAAAAGGCATTGTTATGTGAAAATCAACTTGGAACAATTAAAAAAGAGCAAGCAATGCTCAATGTAGCATTTAAATAAGTCTCATCAAAATAAGTTACAAGCTATTTGGATAGATGTAATGAAGTCTTTTGATTCTATTGATCATCGAGTTCAGTGCCTTTTTTTTTTTTTTTTTCATCTGCACTGAAGAATACTAGATGTACACTAACTAAAATTTTGCTCAATGTCAGTTGCACACCAACTATAATTCTACTCCTTGTCTATCATCAATCCTCTGGAACTCCTCACCCAGTCCCCGGGAGCTGCTCAAACCCCTGTTCTAGACCAATGTTTTCCAAACCAAAATGATGTAATCTGTTGTTGAATATTTTAATTGCAATCCTTTGTCATTTCTTATTTCTGTTAATCCTTCTTCTATAAGATCTAAATTTGCTGATGTATGTTTACCTAAATTAAAGGGATTTCTCACCCAATCTATAAGTGTAGGTGCAAGAAAATATTTTTCAAAATTTATCTATATAATACTAAATCTCTAATCTTGTATGTATGTACTTGAGATACAACTTAAATAATACATAAAACTCCAACTAATTTAAGAGCATATTGAATCCATGCCAATTACAGTGCCAAATTTCATTAAAATTAAACATGGTCTTCTTGGGCTAGGCTTGTTTTTATGACATTTTTAATAGGAAATTGACTATTTGTTTTCACTACACATTCTTATGTCGTTCCTCATTTATAAACAAACACTTTCATATTACAACTATTATGTGTGAAAAATAATAAACTCTCATAATATATAATGTTGTGGAGTAAATAAGATGCCCCCGGTAACACAAATGAACTGGGCAAGACACTTTAAAGAACTCAAAATGTGTCAGGGGAAGTCCATTGAAGTCAGTCAAGAATTTCTAAAGATGTCACAGCAAGTAGCCTAAGTGAGACATAACATTATAACTGCTAGGAGGGAGTTATAACACATGACAACATTATTAAATAAATTTAAATATGCATAACACAACATATATTTATACAATACACTATACTACATTAGAAGTGTTTTTTATAAACAAATATCTTGGATGTTTGGCAAGTACTTGATAGGTGAAGACACTATGTGGGTGTGTCATTGTAAAATGTAATCTATATAGCTGGATAACTGTGTCACATTACTTGGTGATAAATAAATGCACACTGATTTGCTGTTATTACATATTTTGAAATGTGAGGAAGCAACATATAATAAAAAATATAATTATTCCATTTAATCTAAGTAATATTGAAATAATAATAATAATTATTTGCAAATAACAATTAAAATATGTGTAATTAATAAAATTGATAATGCTGTTACCTCATCATTTTGTATCATGAACTGATTTTAAAAGGAAATTAATGGGTTTATAAGTGGTTTAATCTATATATATAAAATTCTGTGATTTCTGTTAATTCCTCCATCTGTCTGTCACACCCTTTTAAATAGCCATACATTGACCGATCAAAACTAAATTTTGGGGACAAATGCAGGTAATGGGGTATAAAGCACAGTTGGAATTTATTGTACTTAGTACAATAAATTTTCATTGATTTTTTTTGGAAAAATAAAGTTTTATTATTTAATATACAAAACAATGCCACTATTTTAAGAAACAATTTAATGATTAAAATAATAATCACTTATTTAATAAAAATGCAATATTCACTATTTACATTATTCGAACTAAAGCAGCCCCCCCAAAATTGGGATAGGTGGGTGTAACAGGATGAGGACAACAACACTCAGAAAACTGTCTGCCTGCCTTATGTGAAGGGGTTATCAGAGAAAATACAAAGGGTCTGTGGTCCATATAACATCAGGACAGCCTTCAAAAGCTGGACAACACTTTGCTGATATCTCTCCCAAGTAAGACCCCTCCCCATAGAGGAGAACATGACTAAAGACTGTGTGTATGCTATCTCGTGCAGCTGCAGAAAGAAATATAAAGGGGAGACAGGCCGCCCCCTCAAGTTAAGGCTTCAAGAACACCAGAAAGCTGTAACACGAGGGGAAGTAGAAAAATCAGGCGTAGCTGACCACATATGGAGAGAGAAGGGAGATCACTGCCTTCTGTGGGATCAGGGTGAGATCATAGACAAAGAACATCATTGGAAAATTCATAAACTTAAGGAATCAGCACATATGCTAGGCCACAAAAATCTCCTGAGCTGACCAAGCATAGAAATGAATAAGGGGAACCAGTAATAAAGAGTACCAGAGAAAAGCAATAATAACAACAAAAATTGCAATATGAGCTCTGGTAAAAGAAAAAAAAATGGTTGCTGAAGATATTAAGTTTATAATGCCCAGAAATTCATACACAGATGTCCTCAAGGACACATGGCACAGTGGATAAAGGCGTTAGATCCAGTGACAGGACCCAAAGAGTTTGAATTCAATACCTGGTTAAGGTGGTGGAGAACTTGGATAGGCGAATTAACAAGATTAGACATGGCACGTGGAACTAGAACAGTCTATAAAATAAAGGGTTCAATTTGACAGTGAGCGACATTCCAAACACCTGAAGAAGGCCAGAGTGTATAATGGCTGAAATGTAATAAATATGGCGACAAAGATGAGTGTACATAACTCATCTCAGAAATATAGACAGATACTGAAATTCAATATTGCTTTGTTTTTGTTTGTTTTTTTTGCATATTTTTCTTTTTTTATATACAAGAATCCTGCCCATATATATATATATATATATATATATATATATATATATATATATTTTATAGTTTTTATATATACAAGAATCCTGCTTCTAGTTTGTCCTGCATTGGCGAGAACTATAAACAAATCACAAGGCCAAATGTTCAAAAAGTTGGAATTTGACATCATAAAGAAATATTTATGCATGGCCAGTTGTATGTTGGATGCTCAAGAGTAAGAAATTCTAAGGATTTAAAAGGAAAATAAGAAATTTTTTTAAAAAATATTGTTTACTATGAAGTCTTACAAGTCTGGTAGTTAGGAGCCCAAACACTTGCGCAGTGTCTTGAGAGGCTGCTCTGATTAATAGTTGCATAATATTAGGGTTCTTGCAGAAACTACCAAACCAGTAATTTCAGTATGCATACATATCACAAAAAATTCATGACAGCACCACTATTAAAGCAAAAGGAAAGGAACCAAGAACCCCTTCCTAACCAGGAAACAAGGGATGGACCTCTACTCCTGTTCAAGAGAATGGAGAGGATTATGTACCAGGCAATAGGAGAGCCTATCTACTCCTAGTTTTTTAAAAAAAAAAAAAAAGCTAAAACACAAAACAATCCTGGGTTTGACTTCCAGATGAATTATTTCAAAGAATGAACTTTCAAATAACTTATTTGGAGCGTCAAGCTGAATTCCAGAGATACACGAGCGCAAACGTGTGTACATACGTGTGAGCCAGAGAGCTTAAAAAAAAAAAAAAATAATTGTTTTAATTTAGTATAATTCTCGTAATTCTGCATTCTCATAATTCCTAGTCAGTAACCACCAAAAAGAAAAAACTGCTCTGACCCAATCAATTAATATTAACAAGCATGATTCATTATGAACATATATGACAGTGTTTGGGAAAAAAAAAAAAAATATTCCCATCTCTAGCTCTCTCTCTCTCTCTCGTGTGTGTGTATATATATATATATATATATATATATATATATATATATATATATATATATATATATATATATATATATATATATATATATATATATATATGATGGTGGAGTAATGGATAGTGGTTTGGATTGAGGAATCTGAGAGCCGAGTTCAAATTCCAGTTGAATCCATTACATTCACTTACTTGCTAATATCCTTGAGAAAGGTGTGAATCCTCCTCATCTCCCTCCAGCTATGGGTAAATAGGTTCTATGGGTTCTATAGCCTTGGATGGCAACTGGTCTAGGAGAAGGACAATTCTGGATTCAAACCCGGAGTGGAGCCCCTAAGGCGGATGGACGGCACTTTGTTCTACCTTCCAGCAACTCTTGCAGCCAT